CATTTGGCTGTTACCCTGAACGTGGTTTGGCAAGGTGAGCTAACTGTTGTCAAGGTGAAGGTTAGCAGGTAAGATTGAGTTAGGGTGAGTAACAAGTACCTATAACTGGGTGCTAATGCTATGCAGGTCTTGGGTAAGTTGCAAATGTGTGATGGTTGAGGTTAGGTCAGGTTAGTCAGGTATGAATTGATCAGGTCACATTTTTTATGGACACTTGGCAAATTAAAAAAAAAAAACTAACATGACCTAATCTTAGCTAACCCAACTAAACCTACATAACTACTTAAGTATAGGTACTGAGCACCTACCCACTTGTGCCTACATCTCATACCAAGTCAAAATAAAGTTCCTTTCTTTAAGATTACCCTCAGTACTTTTTATCCCAGCCTGAGCCCTGTGAAGAAAACTAATTGTAATACCTCTAAGTTCTGAGTCCCTTCTGGCCATCCACAGAAAGAAATGCTGACAGCTTTGCTTGTGTATATTAGACCAATAATCACCATCAGGGCATCACGATTCACGAATGACTATGAACACATGATATGATCACACCGTTGCATGGATTGCCACATTGACAATTTTACTTAAATCCTTTTTCAAAAAATGCAAAGTAATGACATGGATGAGATAATAATGGATTGGTGTCTTCGCAGTTTTTGGCGACATTGAGCTCAGGCCTGCCATCTAGCGGGAGAATTGTCGTAAGTTAGGAGCAAGCCGAGTGAACGCCGCTGATTAGCATTGTGACACACGGGAGTGTGGTGTAGTAGCAGGCTTGTTGTGCAATTTTTCAAAAGGTTATATCTTTATATGTCAGTAAAAGCGAAGAAATTAATAGATTTATGTGCAGGGTCAGTAATAAGATAAGCAGTTCCATGTTATTTCCTCATTAAATCGTGAAACAGGGAGTTATTGGAGACTTCGCCAGCACGTGTCGTTTTCACTATTTTTCACATGAGTCTTTACTTGGCCTAAATCAAACAAATTGTCCGATCAAAGAACAAAACGAACGTAAGTACTATTTATAAGTCTAATGAAAAACTTAAACGGAATTGCTAACGTCATTGCCGCTCAAAATGTCATTCAAGACGCTCTATGAAAAGGACCCAACCGGTGGTGCGTAGTCGATGAAATTTCAGTAACTTTGGCTCCAACTACGATTCCGGTATCCAAATATCGACTCCGACTCCTCCGGGCAGAACTGTCAATTCACACAGACTCCGACTCTGACTCCGACTCTGCAGCCCTGGTAAGTCTGTGGAGTGATGACTTTTCGGTGACGTTCGACTCATACTCGGGCTACAGCTTTTAAAAATCAACCGACTCCGAGTCGGAACAGAACCGCTGGCTCTGACTACAACTTCGCAGCCCTGGCCCAAGATAGCCGCCTAAAACAACTTTTATGTGTGATCTTCGTACATTGTTAATGTTATTTTAAACAAGGGATGGAAAAGGGAGACGAAGCCTTCGCAAACAAGGATCTCCTGTTGCGAATCACTCAGCTGCTGGAAAAGAAAGGCATAAACACCACGCATCTCATTTCATCGTTTTCCTAACAGCTCTGCACCAATGTAAGCACTGATCAATGCAGTGCGAGCATCGATGTGACATTTGTGTACCAAGTTTGAGTGTTATCCGCCCAGCCGTTCTTGAGATATGGAAGCGGCACCCCGCACGTGCGCACGTGCAGTAGCACCCCCATAGTGACACATGGAAATGCTTGGACACTGGGTGCCTAACTATTGACGAAGTTTTACTGTAATTGGCCCAGCCATTGCGGAGTTACTTTATGTGGAACACTTTCGACACCCCTAAGTTGGCACGTGACACGTGCCGTAACATTAACTAAGATGAAGAAAATCGGGCGAAATTCGGAGAAGAAGGAATAAGCCTACCAAATTTTTAAGTGACATATTGTCAAACTGCTATACCATTGTGAGTAAATGGCCATATAAAAGGTCGTACAAGCCGATGGGACTGGGCGTTTCAATGCACACCATTTTACGCATTTTATTTTCGTTATTACCTAAAGGCTGCTTGACGTTTTTGGCTTTCAAGCATTTAAGACGTTTTTTGTCGTCTCAGGTCCAGTAAGATTACCTCCAACTCGTGGGAATATGCACTTCAAGCCAACTAACACACCACTCCCACGTGTGTCATAATGCTGAGAGATGGCGTTCACTCGGCTTGCTCCTAACTTACGATAATTCTCTCGCTAGATGGCAGGCCTGATCCCAATGTCGCGGATCCCAATGTTAATTTCCACGAGACACCAATCCAGTGTTATATCATCCATGGTAATGATGAACATCAAATTAAACATTAAGCTGATTTAGTAATCCAAGCTTTCTCCTCTAGTAGCAATAGAATGATCGCATGTTTCATTTGCCAGACACTGAGTAATGCGCACATTACCATCTGCATAGCAAAGTAAAGCTGCCCGGGTTCATTCATTCTAGATTTTTTCACTTGATAGTTAGCACTCATTGATCTTGCTGTGTAAGTTATATTTCAATATTCATACCAATACATCAATACGCGTTCATCAGCCAACATTTTCTGGCGCGCGTGCTCCAGCTCTTCAGTATTGATCTCCTGCAATACCTATTATAGCTTGTTTTCGGCCAATAAGCTCTTATAATTATACTTTTTTTCTTGCTGATTTAAGTAAACCAGATCAACTTGCGTTTATCAACCAACATTTCCTAACTTCAACCTGATATTACTCAGGACTCAGGACTCTTTTTAGCCTCCTGTATACTTCAACTTGGGATTGTTTTCAATCAACATGCTTCTTTAATATGATATAATTCAGTCACAAGGGATTCAAAACTTCCAACAAAACGACATACAATAGTTCGAAAACCACCAGATAAACTCTAAAAAGGCCTTGGAACGGAGCAGAACGGAGGCAAGTGGTGCTCCATTTGTTTGTTTACAATTTGTAGTGCTGATGTATTGTTTTAGGACTCTATCGGTCGGCTCATAAAAACTGAAACATTTTCACAAAATCTGTAAGGCAAATAATATTTCTCTGAAAGAACTAAAATATTCAAAAGCCAAACACCATGAAATACAGGAATCAGAACGAAAAAGTAACCCAAAAATCCAGCCTAATAACCGGCTCCTAAAACTGCAGCAAAATCAGCACTTTTCCCCGCAACTCGTTGTCCAGACGTAAATATGCATTTTGGCTATCTCAACTCAAATCTAATGTTAAAGGAAAAGGGCCACCTTCGTGAAATATGAAGATATCGTTGTTTTTCATTTTGACATTATTATTTTTCATTTTCTTTTTAAAAGTGGTGCCAGAAGTGCACAATTCGCTAAAAAGTATTTAAAACTATTTAACATATTGGTACTATGTTGATACTCTCTACGGCACCTACTGTATGATGGCATAGCGATGACGTCACACTCAAGCCAATCAGCGTTCAGCAGACAGACTCGTCGGATTGTGTCAGATAAGCTGATTGGTTAAAGCTGAGCTGGTTGGAGCTGATTGGTAAAAAACCAAAGCCTCGCCGCGGGTGTCTGTATTGTCGGATAAGAACGCATTCCTGGGATAAGGACGCATTCCTGGCGTATTTTCTTTTAAAATTGCCGATAACTACAAATGGAGGCCGAAATCGGCCGTAAGGAGGTAGACAGATAGGTTTTCGGACACGGGCTACAAGATGGCTATCTCAGTTTCAATCCCCATGTTAAAGGTGGCCCTTTTCCTTTAAGGTGGGAGGGTCCCTTTAACCCGCGCCCCGATGGGGGGGGGGGCAGAATCTGCCCCCCTCCCGTTTTTCGCCAATAACTTCTAAACGCGTTACGCCAGCGACGTCACACTTTCAGTACATTATCATACATCAATTTGACACGTTCCCTGAAAATTTGAGCGAAATCCGTCGGAATTTTTTTTTAGAAATTTACGTTTTAGTGACGTCATGTTCGCCATTTTCGCCTCAAAAACGGCAAAATTTCAAACGCCGCTAACATCCTCATTTTTAAAGGAATCAAGACGTAACAAAAAAGGTTATACGTGATTCTACTTTGCCTATCAAATGGCTATCTCGGTTTTTGAAAATTTTGGATTTTGGCCCAAATTTTTTTCTTAAAAAAACTGACTTTTTTGGGAAAATAATTATAATATCCAAAATTTTGAGTGTATCGAAAAAACCGGAATATATGTCAGAGAAGTGGTCTATGTGCACCTACATACCATTTTTTTAGAAGAATCGGTTCAAAAATGTGGGATTTATTCAAAATTTTATGATGTCACGACACACAAAAATTTTGAAAAATGATTTTTTTGGAAGTTCTATACCTCGTACGGAAACAAAAATAGCACCATTCGATTTGCCGTGAAAAACTGCATCAGATAGACACCTTTTTAGGCCGTAACAACCAACTTCAAAATTTGACCTCACTTGACCTGACCTTGACCTTACCTCGACCTGAAATTTATCCAGAGGTGGTCCATATCACTTATTGAGTGTGCTTATTGAATTCTATGAGTAAAATGACCTATAAAACATGCGTCGCACATGCCCTTTTCTATATTTTGTTTTTGGTGACCGGACCTGACCCGACCTGACCTTGGCCTTGACCTTTGAATGACATTGTATGCAACGAATATTGTCTTGGTAGTCTAAGAACACGTTTTGGGCAATCAGTCTCAGTCCATTCTTCGGCAACTACGGTGCAAGGCCGATACTGTAGAAACTTGCATTTTGTACCCTTGACCTGACCTTGACCTGGCTTCTGACCTACTTAAGCAAAAAAATGGGCTCTTAAGATCTGCCTTGTTGAGAGCTTTCGATTGCCGTTTTCCCCGTCTTTCTACGACCATCGGTTCGGAAGTTAGACAGGGGGCAGAATCTGCCCCCTCCCCCCCCCCCCAGCAGGGCGCGTATGGCTGAATAGCCGGCCAGCGGGGCGCGGGTTAATAATATGAACAATTTGAGATGTGTTCGTATACCTTTTCCTAATGTTTGCTTATCTTTTTTCAGGGACACTTCCATTATTGTTAATTATTAATTAGTAGGTGTGGAAGCAGGCACCAACATGAAAGCAATGAAGAGAGCAATGATTGAAGATGTTGCAGATTCAGATGTTTCAGCAAGGGCAAATTTACCTAAACTTGGTGAGTGGTCTGTCTAGAGATATTTTACTTTATGTATCTTTTAATTAACTAAAAGATGTGAATCCTTTTGCAAGTGTCAGTCAAACTTATGAATGTGCAGAGAACCTTTCTACATCACAAGAACCTCTGCATCCATAACCATCAAATTTGGTGCATTCTTGGGGATCGACTGGAGGCTGGCTTGTCCAAGTCGTCCAGGTGTCTCAGGCCGCACAGGCACAGGTGCATGGCTCACGATTGTGCAGTGCTCACTCATTTATTGCTCTTAAAGGTGTCAGTGTATTGCAAATACCTGGTTGTTGTGCATACATCCAGGCCTTTCTATTGATGCTAGGGCAAAAATTGATGAACTATGGGTCAGCTATGATCAAACCTCCATGGTGCATAATGCTATTTGCTAGTTGGTACAACTTAACATATTTCTCTCAACGGATACATTAAAACTGACAAAATTGTGCATAGATTTTAGGTACATGATTGATGAGAACAGTAAATAGCTAATACGTGTATAACTGATGTGTATCATCCTACGCTGTCAGTACAGGTAGCACAAAGGTGGCTGTCACCACTCACCATGCTATACTAACCCTCCCCTCTCATCCAGTCACGTTCGCCAGCAGCGACAACGTGCCCGGGGGCGCCAAGTTCGCCTCGTTTCGTAACACTGAGGACGGCTCCCTGCTGCTGACCGCCAACACTGACCGTCTGAGTTACGTCAACAAATCGCAGCCCGAACAGCTGATGCTGGCAGTAGTCAGTAAATCCACAGGTGGGTCGCCTGATTATCGTTAGCAGTGCGGGGCAGAGATGTTTTACGCCCACCCTACGCGTTTTTCGTAGCTGTCTCGGACTTTTATTTCTCACTTCTCAGTGACACATGCCCATTGCTCACCTTTGACATTGAATGCCGTTTTTTCATAGGTCAGTTGGTAATGATCCAGACTTCATAGGGATGTCTGGCGTACATAAATATCCAGCAATTTCGGAGCGCTAAATTTTGGCATGCATGTATTATCCCGACAACCGGAATTTTGCGTTCGGACGGTAGAGGTCACGACCTGCAGTCTGCATTCAGTTGACCTGTGACCTGCACTAAGAAAAGATCAACTTAGCACACGCTCTGCCGTTGTTAACCTGTCTATTCCAAAGATGCGAGGTTATGGCAACTTTGCCGCTTGAAAACGGCAGCAATCGCCATTATCGCCGCCACCTGTCATCACCACATCACTAGCGCTGTGTTGCGTGCTTCACTGACCAGCTATCCCCATCTCCGCCTGCAGGGAAGGCGCGCCTGGTGCCGCTGCAGTCCTTCCACCTATCCCCGGCCCTGGAGCCCGCGGCGGCCGAGCCGGAGGGTGAAGAGACTCCCCAGTACACCTGGACAGACGTGGGTCGGGCGTTCGGGCTGGCACGCTGGCAGAAGCAGCACCAGCGCAGCACGCGGCTCGACGTGGGCAGCGGGTCCCGATCGGTGGCCCAGTCGCTAGAGGTAGCCATGGACCATGTGAAACCGGCCCAGCCGCCGGCGGAAGGAGACGAAACGCCGGCCGCTCGGGACGGCCAGATGGAGACGGGGCTGGTGCCGCCGCAGAACTTGGAAGCCACAGAGCCGTCCGAGGTTTATAACAGAGAGGACGTGGTGCCCGGATGGCTCTACAAAAGACTGCAGAATACGGCCGATAAGTTCGAGGAAGCGCTGAAGAAGCTGGACAGGTGGGTGATATGATATGCACTGGTATGGTTGTAAGGGGATGTAGGCTTCTTGTTAAGCCACTAATCTGATGGTGGAAAACGCAGATTCGTACCTTTTAGCGTTTTAGGTAGGTATTTAGTAATCCTACTTAGACCCTTACATAATTACAGTACAGGATCATGTTCTTAGCGTGTTTTGCCTGTGCCTGTCATATACGCCCTCCTCCCTCACAGCCATGACTGGCCCCATATAAGTGCCTGTGCTGCCTGTGACCGCTCTATTTCACATTGGCCGTTACGCTTCCCCGCCCTCCACAGGACCGACGAGTACCTGGTGACCCAAGCGGCGAAATGGAGGGACTCTGACGAGGACAAGTTCACTCTCACCATGTACCTGTTCTACATGGTGCGCCTGCTGCGCAACCTGCAGGACATGTACGTCACCAAGTCCTGGAAGCGGCTGATGATACCGGAGCCGGTGCTGGAGCACCTGCGAGACGCCTTCATGGAGAGGTCCCACAACGGATGGTGAGTGTGTTGTGTCGAGCGGACAGGACGGGGTGACGGAAAAGGGGGTGGTGCGGCAACGCACGGTACACGACGGAGAAATAGTTGTGTGGTAAATGCCCGATGTGTGACCGAATTTGTGTTTCCTGAGGCAGTTATCAAATAAGAATCAGGCTGCTTCCAGTTACGCCGAGAACGCGGCAAGCCCCAACTCACGAACTAAATGCATGGAAAACGAGCAGAATAATTTTTGTGTCACCTTTTATATCTTTGTAAATATCGTGATAGAATGTTTGTTATGTCGCTTTGCCCATCTAAAACGGTATGGTGAAAAAGTTCCTTGGAATATGTTCGTATGTCTATCGGTCCTCCCTCGGAATGGAATGTTTTTTCTTTTCTTTTTTCGACAAAATTTCGCCTTCTTCCGTCCCATTTTCCATGTTCTCTGCCCGCGTGTGTCACCAGGGACCGGTCGGAGCGCCTGCTGGACAAACTGGCCTGCCACATCATAGTGGTGTCCCTCTGGATCCACGACTATACGATCCGACTGGAGGATATCACTGGCATCACCAGAGTCAAGCTGAAGAAGTGAGTCAGACACCGGCCTGTCACCTGATGTACTGTGCAATACTCTTTACGGTTGCTAAACCCCACAAGACGATTGTCATGTCTAACCACCTCTTGCTGTAGATGTGCGGCCTCCCGATGTGAAGTATATTGGTATTGTAGGTACAACAGCATCGGCCATCCAATTATAAATATCTTACTTAGTAAGTGTATAAACAGAAATTCGTGGCATCAGGTGGTTGGTTTTTGTTACGCTGTATTTTGACGTTTTTTTTTGTGTGTGTGCATGTCTGCGAGCATCATCACGTCAGTGTTTCGGATCAGCTGAACTACACACAATACGGCCACCTCCGGTTTTCTGTGAAAAGTGGGCGACAACTTTTTTCCAGTTCTGTCGACAATGCTCACTGGACGCTGTCACTCAATATCAACCCTAAATAACTTACCCAGTACGAGTTCCAAATAATAACCCTTCGAATAGTCCTAGTCTTGTATCACTGAACCAAGTTACAAGCCGCAACTACAATTAGTCGCAGACTGCTGACATTTACACTTAGCGAACGGCTCCGAACCACTGATCCCAGGCCGAAATCCGATTCCTGACCACTCATCGTCGACCTCAGACCACTGGCTACCAACCACCGACCCGGCTGTCTGACTTCTGACCTCTGACTCGGCTGTCAGACTTGACTACTGACCCGGCTCTTTGACTGTTGAACGCAGAATGGCATCTCTGGCAGTTCCCATTCCGGCAAAATGGTCCAGCACTGCTCGGTCTGACCCTGTCTTATGTCCCAGTACTGCTTGGTCTGACCCTGTGTTATGTCCCAGTACTGCTCGTTCTGACCGTGTGTTATGTCCCAGTACTGCTTGTGTTATGTCCCTCCCTTGTTCCAGCATTGCTTGGTCTGACCGTGTGTTATGTCCCAGTACTGCGCGGTCTGACCCTGTCTTATGTCCCAGTACTGCGCGGTCTGACCGTGTGTTATGTCCCAGTACTGCGCGGTCTGACCCTGTGTTATGTCCCATCTCTGCTCGGTCTGACCCTGTGTTATGTCCCGCCCGGCAGGCTGGTTCAGTACTGCGCTCTGCTCGGTCTGACCGTGTCGTCAGGCGACAGGGCCATGCTGAAGCTGCCGCTGAAGGTGAAGGCGCCGCCAGTGACTTCGCGACGTACCAAGAGGGTAGCGGCCATGTGAAAGAAGCGCCGAGCATTTCGCGGTAGGTCCGCAGGTTGAATGACACCTCTGGAGTCCCGGTGAATATTGGGACGCCGTGATAATGTTATGTCAGTGGAACTCGAGAGGCCCATAACGAGGGTTTTTGACGAAGTGTGCGTTTTTTTTTGTAGGTAGGTATCTAAATTTATTACTGCACTTACCTGCATTTGAAACGGATCAAGACGATCATGATTACGGCATCACCATGAAGCTGTCGTCTACTCAATCGGTGGCTGTTGCGCGGCTCGTCCGCCGTCCCGGCGTGCACTGACAGTTTTTGGCGCACTGACTGTGGTGGCTGCGGCATGGGCAGCGCAGCCGCTTGCACATGCCCTCGCAGTTATAGCGCGACGTGTTTCGCAAGCTATGTGAACTGGTTGCCCATGATGCGTTCAGGATTACATGTGTCTGTACATATTTCGAGAATGTTCCGAGCGTCAACCCGTTGGCATGGAAAAAGGTGTCTACTCCTGGTTCATAAACGATATTGTTAGGTCGACAGAAATACCACGACGCCGGCTAGTGTTACTCCACCGGAAAGAAGTCAGTCCGCCTTTAAGTGCCATCTGCGAGCGGGGAGACTTGTGTGCAGTCATTCGATCTATCCCCTGGAGCACTCAGTTGTCTGACCGGCCACTTGGCCGATTCTCAGTACCTACTCTCAATCGTCAGACCGACACGATCATTGGCGGTGCGGTAAAGGCTGGAGTCGCCTGGTGGAATAAGCTGCGGGCTCTGTGCGTCCATAGTTAGCGTCGAAGTCTAAAGATCAGTGTCTTCTGCCGGTCTGTCTAAGCTGCCTGGTTCAACGACCGCGCGTTTTTCGTATTCCGCCGTCTGGGGCTATTGGCTGTGGCTGTGCAGTGTTGTTTTTGTGGTGTGTCTGGGTGTTTCTTGCCTGGGGTCCGAAAATGCTGAAATACGATTTCTATGAAACTTGCTGCGGAGTATTTACGCCATCATGTCTGGTTAATCCGTGATTTGCCGGGTTGATTCAACAAATTATACTCAGGGTATGCTATTTTCCGCACCGCCCCCGATCTTTCGATAAAAAACTTGATCAATATCTTATGATATAACGGCGCCTGATAATCTTGTGAAAGGCCGTCGAAACCATGCCCGTAATTAATGTTATTCCCAAGAAACTTTCTGTGGAGCATTACTTTGGGGGAAGCAGGGCAGCCCATTTCGGACACTTCGCCCAAAAAGTTTGCCTGGAGAGATTATTTGACATCGGAATGCAAGCTTGTGCATATTCCGTGGAAATGTAACGCAGCGGGCGACTAGGTTGAAATCCTTTTGAAAAGGCGATAGGATGCTTGAAACAGAGATCGATCTATGTCTTGGAGTTATGAGAACAGTGACACAGTCTTTCCGCCATCTTTACGTTGTAAGAGGCTAAAACTGAAATATCTGTCATAAATTTTGGTGAGAAAGGAATCGTTTGAAGTTTGAAGGGCTCATCACTGTACACTGTACAGTGTACAGTGTGCGAAAGGGCTACTTTAATTATTTAAATTTTGATATTTATTTCATAGGTACTGGCGTTTTTAGGCGATCTGACGAGCTTACGCCGAGCGGCGTATGGAAGTCAGCTGTGCGCCAGGACTTGAACTTTTCAGGGGACGTGAATGAAGGATGCCCCCATAGAGTATGCCAATGTTGGCGTTTCTACATCCCGCGGCTTACACGCTTTTATAACCCTCAAGGCCAGGTCGATTGGCCTCACCCTCATAAAACTCGTAAGGTAGGTTAGGTATCATATGATTTAATAAACAAATAAACAGGTAAGCAAGAGGATGGCATCAACCCCTGGCCGGCGAAGATTATGTATGCTCACTTGCCTTGCCACTTGGTTAACCATGAAATCTGGTTCGACTTACCCACACTATTGCATCATTACGAGCGAGCGAGCGTAGCGAAGTCTTTTCAATATAACGGAAAAAAATCAGTATGAGCAGCCCGGCCCGGCCTGTAACGCTTTTGAGAGGCTTATATCTCAGCAACCGCTGGACCGATTTGCCTGCGGTCTTTTTTGCTGGGTAGCCCCATCCCTTCTACCCCGTAATTGACTACTTTTGACACATCTCAGTGACCGTCGTGGCACGCGCCACGTGAAAAGTCAAGGGTGTTCAAGCTGTTTTGCAAAAGTAGTGATTTTGAGAGGCTCATATCTCAGCAGCCGCTTGGGCACACTATCATTTATTATTCTTGCGGTAATTTTTGTAGGGTAGCTGCATCCCTTCTACCAAAGGTCGGATACTCTATCTGTAAGAATCTTGGGATACTCTTGATCTATGTGAGTGACCCCCACTGCACGTGCAAAATACAAAAAAGAAGAGGTGCCAAATTTGTTCCCATTTCAATAACCCGGTAATTACTGGGGCGATTTCGCTGAAACTTGGCATACAGGTAGGCACCCACCAGGCAATGCATTCCCATGTGTTGCGGTTAGGGTGCTACTGCACGTGCACACGTGCAGAGGGCGCTTCCAGATCTCGAGAACGGCTGGGCCGATTGCGCTCAAATTTGGTACACGGTTTGGGACCGGTTAGTAGGGTGCCGTGCAAAAGTCAGTTTGGACCCCGTTTGCACGTGCGCACGTGCAGAATGCCGCTTCCAGATCTCAGGAACGGCTTGGCCGATTGCGTTCAAATTTGGCACACCGCTAGTGACCGGTTAGAAGGGTGCTTGGCACAAGCCCCGTTGGAAGTACCCTCTCGCTCTTCCATACGTGCAGGGCTCACTATCTTGCTCGCTCGTTCTTCGCCCAAAAGGCGTTTTACTGGTTTTATTGCTTAGGAACGAAGTAGGACCAAATAATTTTTATACGACTGTGCACAACCACGACACGTGGATTCGGTACCCCGTGTAATACATCCTTATCGCCGTGCGCTATTCCTGCGCCATTGCCTCGGTGATGTGGCTACGTGCACAAATGTGTGTTTATTTTAGGCAACCCTGTCAGATAACAGCTGCCTGATGCGTCGCTGTGCGCTAAGTATAAAGCACTGCATGAGACAATCCCTATATAAATACTGTCACTTGATGCGACAACACCAGACGCTCCCCACTTAGGCATTCTCGTGAACTGTGAGTAGACTTTTCACGGCTCAGTTGACCCTGATCCACAGCCGAGACAAGAGTCTGCCGGTCTGAGGCGCTGGTATTGGCGGGTATGTACCAGTGTCTACCGTCGCGCCGCCGTACTATACGGAATACGGATACAGACGGCAGAATGCAGCCACACGTGAATCGGCTGTCATGCGGACAGCGAAACCAATTTGCTCACGGGTAGACTGCTTATGTTGTGGCTTGACTGTTGTTCCGCTCACGAGAAGCGTTTAGCCAGTGGAGAAAAAATTCAACTATACGGAAAAAGTTGGATTTTTCCGTATAGTTCGTGGAGAAAAAATCCAATCTCGGGGGCCCGTGAGGAGGGTTTTTGTCGCCCCTGCCCAACTTCTCATATAGTGAAGCTTATGTGACAAAAGTGGTTCCACAGGAGAGCAATAGAGGCACGATTGTCACGGGTGTAATTTTTCGATTCAGTGTGTCATGTTCTGTGATCCGATGCTTGAGAGTGCTTGAGAGTATTTAGAACTACGTTTGCCCAAAAAAGGCGCCCTTCAATTTTCCCATATTGACTTATAGAGAGGGTGCATAATTGACCTGACCTCAGGTCACCGATTTCAAAATTCCTAGATATGCGCATTATGCATTCAGTTGCTCTTACCAATCGCTGAAACTTTCAAACGATCGCGTCTCTCAGTAGTTAAAGCAATGGCGAGCATTCTAACCTTCTGAGGTAATGTCTTTTGACGTGATCTGGTGACCTGAATTTGAGCGACCTGCGTCTCAAATTTTCACATGTGCGGAAAAGATGCATGAACAGGTGTATCAAAGATTGCGGCCGCGCTCCGCGCCGATATCTGCAAAAAAAAACGCAGGGGGCTGCTCAAACAGCTCCCCCTGGCCCGGCGCGGGGTAAAAGATTTGTGTCGCTAAGCGGGAATTGAATTACGATACGACCCACTAGTCACTGGCGATAGAAATGATGCTGAAACTTCCAACTTCCATCCGTTCCCAAGCGAAGTTCAAACAGCAGGTTTCGATTGCGTGCAACGAATTACTTATCCGTCTAGCCACTTTTATTTGCCATATTCTCGTCATTCGGAGCCATTGCGAGCACATCTGCGATCTCAGTGGCGCTTTTTATCATGAAATAGCATGAAACTCCTTAAATAGATAAGTAAACACTTCTCAAATGTCCTTATAACACCATTTAACCAACGAACATTAGGTAGTGATGTGCTTGCTCTTGTATCTTGACATTGTCAAACGGGGGATATTGCACATTTTATGAGCACCTAAATTATTTATAATATTTGTAGCATTTAGTAGAAATGTGCAACTTGCTATGTTAAAGATATTACAAAAGTCAATTATATAATACTGAATCAGCTGCTGTAACAATAGAAATACTGTAATCATTATCACTTGCTAAGCGCAATGACTAGAACTCGTTTGTTTGGCCATAAGTTGGCACATTGCTAGTACCACGCTGAGATCTGTGGGTCCCGGCCGTAGCGGCCTGGGTCCCCGGGGTGCTGGCCGGCCGGCCGTCCCTCGGGCCGGTGACCGGACTGTGTCCGATCGTCGACCCGCCAGCCACCGGGGCAGCCGCCGGCCACGCCACAACACACAGCCGACACAGCTACATAACACTGCCAGTCCTCCAATCCTCGGACTAGTCACAGACAACGCGCCGACAAGGTATCCACACACAACAAATAAATCACACTGATTCAGCACAGAATCAATATCGTTGATTATCGCCAACAAATCGGCCCGATAACTAAACGAGACAATGCAAACTCGATCAAGCGGCGAGGCCGATGAGGCGGTTCCGTCAGGTGGTCAGTGTGTTCTGCGGTGTGTCGTTTTCGATTGCCGGCGACCGAGAACCCTGCAAGACGGGCTCAGTCTTTCAGGGCGCGTCGGCCGGTCGGTCGGTCGGTCGGTTGGTCACTAGCCGACGACCATCAGTCGCGGACGAATGTCGTTGCTCTGCGCTGCCCGCTGCTCTGACATGTACTGCAGCGACAGTGACAGCATTGCGCTCGTATTTTCCAGCACCAGGCAGTTTCTGAAGATGGAGAAACATCGAATGTATAAAGACGCATGCGTAATGGTCGATTAGATGTAATAAACGCCATCCCTTCTTGTCCTTGTTCGATGTGGTCTCTAGAAATTACGATAATGCCATTTAAAATTCGTCCGTTTTATTCAATAATTAAATGGCGTGTGAATTTCAGTAATGCAATGCATTAGGATCAAGAGTCACCATTCTCCTGTTTGTCCAGAACAACTTCACTTAATGTTCGCTCTGACCCACCTATCACTCGGTAAATATCTCTCATCTTATCTATCAAAACTGGAGGATTATTTATCACCCTGACTCTGGACTCTCTGACTCTCGACTCACCTCATGAGTCGCCGGTGACAGTTTCGGTATTTGCTGAGCCCCAGGTCAGGCACCGAGTTGAGAACGGTCTCCAGATCCGGGCGGTGCACGCTCTCGGAGATAACGCAGAGAATGTTCTGAAGATGGCCCGCCAGCCTGAAAACGATGACAAGGAGTACAAGGAGTGAAAATGCGCAGCATAGAAGGAGCAGTTTTGTCAACACCTCTCACTAAAACGGGTCACATATATAATTCCTATCAAGTCCTTGCTGTTTAAACGCCTTCTCTGCTTAAACCGGGCAGCTCGTCATCTTCCAATACTCACGAGAATAGTTCGTCGACGAGTCCGCGGCTCTCGTTCCCGCACGTTTGGTGCGACTCGCGTATTTCCTGAGCCATTAGGTAGAGATGAGCTGTTTCTATGAGAAACACGCGGTACATCTCGGGCATTGCCTCGTGACGCTGTATCGGACACAAAGGGTGGCAGTTAGTGGGAGGGCACAGAGGTATAAAGAGAATAAATTCTCATGGTCGATGGGCGGCGGGGGATGGAAATGGGGCGTGGTTACGGCGGTCGGGAGTCGGGACGCGTGGTCTTTGGTCGCTGGTAACCGTTTGGGGGGGGGGGGGTCACGGAAGTTGGGGACATAATTACTGGTCACCGGTTGGAGAGGGGGTTGTTGTTACAGAATAAGGTAGTCCACTGACGGGGTCTTAGTGGGTCTCAACAAATTCACACTTAACAAACAAACTCAACCTCAGACATCACCCAGCAGCGCAGAGAATGAAAAACAATGACGCCCGTAGTTGCCATGTCGCACTGGCTAGTGATGTCATGTTACAGCTGAAGGCGTATCCAACGTTTAAAATCACGTCTCAATTTCATGTATTGCTGAGAAAATGAGCTCATTAGATAGGTGTAGAATCTAATGCCAATTATGAGGAAGTTGGTAATTTTATACGAGCGTGAATCGTTGACTCGTTAACTTACCGTCCGGCCCGAGAGGCTGGATATACTAGGCTGGCTCTGTAGGCTCATACCAGTACACTCCGGGACGCCCTGTAAACGGAGACGCAAAACTATGTAAGAAAAGAAAAATCGCTGATTCTGTCGCTTAGGCATAAGGCACTCGAGTTATCTGTGGAAAAAAAAACTTTGGCGTAGCTGTTCTTTTAAAATTCATGCAAACATGTTTTATTACGGTGAGCGTAATGACTGATATTGAAATGACTGGCACTAACACTGTGGCCGACTTTGCCCTGACCTGACACTGACCGACTGTGATCTGACACTGACCAACAGTAACCTAACAGTGAGACCGACAGTGACCTGACACTGACCAACAGTAACCTAACAGCGTGACCGACAGTGAGTGGCGCTGTAATCGACAGTGACCTACCACTGACCGACAGTGACCTAACAGTGACCGACTGTGACTGACGCTGTAATCGACAGTGACCTGACCCAACACTGACCGATGCTTCTCGCACGAAGCGGGCGAGGCTGCTGGCGAGACGCAGCTCGATCTGCAGCTCTGAGTCTCGCCCCTCCTGGCGGCGATTGGTCGGCAGCGGCCTTCCCGTGTTGGTGATCTGGCACGGGTTGGTCAGCTTGTCCAGGAAGTCGAGGTCGCGCAGAAGTACAGTAGTCTCTAGATGTGACGCCCCGCTGACCCGAACGGCTGCCAGCAGCCCTGCCGGCGAGCGAACGGTCAGACATGGTACACAGCACACCGGAACGGTCAGACATGGTACGCAGCACACCCGAATGGTCAGACATGGTACACAAGAGACCCGAATGGTCAGACATGGTACACAAGAGACCCGAACGGTCAGACATGGTACACAGCAGACCCGAACGGTCGCACGTGGTGCACAGCAGACCCGAACGGTCGCACGTGGTACACAGCAGACCCGAACGGTCAATAACAACAAAACCGAACGGTCAGATATGGTGCACTATAGACCCGAGTGAGGGCCAGACGAACGGTAAGAATAAGCGCACACATTTTGATTTGCTATTTATTGAGAGTTAAACGTCAAGTTATACACATGGCAAGTACCAACACATACGAGGTGGATATTTAAGTTTTAACTCCGTTCTTTCGGTTTTAATTGCTAACAATACGAAAAGTGTACGTATTCCCTTTATACACGTCCATTGTGCATTAAGTTAATGACTAGTAATAACTAAACATTGTTCGTGGGGTGACAGGAACCTTAGTTTCCTTTCGATTAATTAAGTTACGGAAGATGAAAGTGTGCTTATGTGTGCCGTATTTTTACGAATGAGTAACCACAATGGGATTGCAGTGTGCGATCATACTCTCTCGCTATCACCTCGTTTAATGCACTATATTGTAAACCGCATTCTACCTATGTATAATTCCTGCGGATGGGGAACACGTCATGAGTGTGAAATGTGTGAGCGAATGGAAGGCATAATAGTTTCCAAGATGTGAATGCTGCGTAAACGAGCAACAACTTTACATGCACGCATCCAGAATCCGTCATTCAAACCCACTTAGCTGTCTATTGGTGTTATTCCATGATAACTAACGAGCTGTCTTATTCAGGCAATTCCTCAATAATTGGGATGAGATGAGATGCCCCTCGCTCTTTGACAATGGATGAGCCGGACTGAGGCTTGCAGGACCCAGACCGAGCGTCGGACAAGGAGCTACGGCTTCTTACGCTCGGATAACTGAGCGTATTTTGTTGCGAACTAAAGAAAATAACAGGAGGCTGTGTCTGTTGTCTCCCTCCAAACAAAGATCAGTATATATCTGAGTCTTAACTGGCGATATAATGATCTTGAAATAATCTTCTAAGAATGAACTTAATTGATAATTCGATCGAAAGCAATGAATTTAAAAGTGACATTTGAGTAACTGAAAATGCATGCCTAGAAATGCATCTTAGAAGAAATCATTTGCCGGTCAGGCCACTATGAGGTTTTGTCCATTTGCAGTTACTCCATATTGATGCAATATCGTTCCTGTAGTTGAAATCGTGCTCATCTAGTGATGAAACTTGTGGAATCGAAAGAATGATAAAAGATGAAATTCCAAATAGTTTGGTATTTATTCTAGGTCACCGTTTATCATGAAATTAAATTGGGAGATTTTCTGTCGTAATTCCGAAAGTTCAGACCAAGCTCTGAATGTCCAGTTTTTCTATGTAGTGTTACCTATCACTCTGTCACATTGATAACCGAATTTTGAATATCTTTGTGATATAGAAAGATAGCAAACAAATACAAATGATAAAAAAGGTATTGTGATTTGCCGTTAGCGTTCTGGTTAATGATTTCTTACCAGAGTAGATTTAAAGATAATTGAGTAAGAAAAAAAACGAAGAGAAGAGCCTTATGTAATGGCTTACCAATTACCAGAACTCCTCACGTTCAGGTCCATAGGGCACATTCATCTACAAATGGTGTGCTCAGAACGATCCTTTAGCTGGTTACGCAGTCTGATAATAGTCAGTGTTGATTATAACTCGTAGATATCCGTTTCCTTTTGAGCCTCCGCATCACGAACAGGCCTTGCCTCGATTCCAATGGTTTATGCATGGCGAGTTTTGTACATGAGAAGTGAATTTTAGAACTTTTGATGCTAGTTTTGGCTTTTTAAGCGTATTATTAAATCTTTCCCTTGCAGTTTAGCATGCTAACCGTTCTGCTGAAATACCGCTGTTACCAACTTTTGTACATACGTCCGGTGAGGTGTGTCTCAGTGCGCCTTACTAAGCTGGCCAGCATTGCTGCTCGTTTCCCTGTCCTGCTCTCATGGCCCAGGGAGGACAGAGGTGAGAAGTCGGCGCCGGTACCGCTCTACCTACCTAGGAGCAGCGCGGCCGGCCGGGCGGCTCCGGCGCGGAGCCCGAGGACGCTCCAGCTGCTCATGGCGCGGGCCGGCGGCTGGGACGGCACTGCAAGACGGGCACGGACGCTGCTGTCGGTCGGCCGAGCCGCACCGGCGCTCTTATACGGGCAGGTAGCGCTCCTCCGACGCACCTGTGATCCGGCGTCGGACGCGAGACGCGCGCGCGCGCGCCGCTAACCCTCTGAGAAGCTGCCGCCCCCGCCGGCGCCGCCCGCTCCCAGGTCACGTGATCGGCGGAACACCCCCGTCGCCATCGTCGCAGCGGAGGAGTCTCACCAAGGCAGTGAAGTGGCCTCAGCAGAAGGCCACTCAGCACCCGCACAAATCGGCTCCCGTGTATGGCTTACGCTGTCGGCGGCGCGTCAGGAGCGGGTGGGTGGTTGATCCGACTCCAGCGCGATTGTGACCGTTCTTGAACGCCATGGTTTGTCGCAGTTGGGCTGTCTCCACCCGTATTGCGTTACCATGATGCCGAGTGCTACATGTGTGGATAAATATGGTTTTAGGCATCACCTTCTCACCGCACTGGAGTACAATCAGGCCAGAAATAACTCGAACCAATCGGAAGTTGTTGAGTGAACGGAATGAGCTGGGTATGAGTCGCTGCATATCTGTATCCAATCTCCCGCGCCTCAAATTAATTATTATAATATGAAGTTTCTAACACCATTGTTATCTCATCGGTTCAGGCAGCTACAACGGGTGGGGCGTGATTCTATGTTCACTTTAAGATATATGTATTACGGTATGTTACAGCTGATTCAATGCTGGTTAAAAACGCGTTATTGCGCAAGCTTTGCTTTTCGTGGAGCATAGTTAAGAGGACTTGTAATAAACATAGGTATTATCGTTTTACATATTAGGTACATCACTCATCAGACTTTTAATCTACTCGTCATTGCCAAGACAACTTCTGTTACAATCGGCTGCCACATTTCAGTCGTCAAATAATTGGGTATCAATACGCTGTGTGTTAACGTCACATACGTCCTTTTCCCACGAAGCGGAAATAAGAAGCGAAACTCATAGCCCGGGCGGAACTATAAGTTACCCGTTTATATAGAAAACCTGTGTGCCGGTATGTAGGAAACCGTTATAAAGAAAAACAATAGGTTCGACGAGGGTTAGATTGCCCGCACTTTGTATGCTTGGTTGTATTCGTGTTGTAGGTGCTATTGTACTCGCTGTTATTCGTATGTAAAGTACACGAAAAGCTCCGTCGTTTTTATCAGTTGTTTGAAGTGTGTTCAAATCAGTCCACCACATTCCCCAATGTCTCTTTTTAAATACGTTATGCCAATTTATCCCGCACCGTAGACAGTGTTTACAATTGCTTCACGTGCAAAAAGAGAAAATTTTCAGATGTCGATTAACTGATTAAACGTCTAGTAGACTTTCGTCTATTCTGAAAAAATCCTATGTCGTATTTTTAACATAAAATGTATTTTTTACCTTTAAGCGCTCGAAAGATATCGGCGGTACGGGAAAAAATTATTAAACCGCTCGTAGGTAAAAAAAAAATATTTTAAACGTCTCGCCTATCGGCTCGACGTTTAAAAGATTTGTTCTACCTACTCGTGGTTTAATATATATTTTCCCATACGCCGAGATATCCCTTTAGCATAATCCTAGCCGTGCGGTAAACATTTGCACGTGATCTTTCCTGCACTGTTTTCCGGCACGGGTTGATGGCCTACAGTTCTGGTGATTTTTTGATAAAAATCTTAAAAAAGGTGATTTCAATAATTAAATTGTGAGTCTCTGAATAGATATTAAACGACGTATGGGAAATATCTTACTGAACTTGCTCTGGGAAGAAAAATGGAAACCTCGGTCTTCAAAAAATCTCCGGCACTCGGCTACGCCTCGTGCCTACAATTATTTAAAGACCTCGGTTTCCATTTTTCTTTCCCAGAGCCGTTCAGTAATATATAATCCCGCACCGTAGACAGTGTTAACAATTGCTTCACGTGCAAAGAGAGAAAATTATCAGATGTCGTTTAACTGATTTGTTAAACGTCTAGACGGTATATAGGGCCTTGGTCTAGACGTTTAACAAACTGTTGAACGTCTAGTTGACATTTCGGCTAGTCTGAAATATGTCGTATTTTTTACATAAAATGTATTTTTTTAACTTTAAGCGCCCGAAAGATACCGGCGGTACGGGATAAAATCAATAAACCGCTCGAAGGTAGAAAAAATATTTTAAACGTCTCGCCTATCGGCTTGACGTTTAACAGATTTGTTCTACCTACTCGCGGTTTAACCCGGCAGGCGGTGGGCCTCCCGGCCACCTTCCGCGCGGTGGGGGGGGGCATTTTTTGCCCCCCCCCCGTATCTCCGAAACTACTGGACGGATCCGTAAAATTCAAACGGCATTCGATAGCCCTGTCAAATTTGTCGAAGGAAACCAAATTTCATTGACCTCGGGGTCACCGATGACGTCACAGGTCAGGTCAAAGATAAAATGTTTCACCGTTCACGGGGCTTCTAGGGAAAGCGCTATAACACCGAGTAAAACGCATTTTGTCGAAAATCAGGGATAGGGCGTCAGTTGTCTAGTACATATGTTGCTATTGAAAGTCACTGGTCATACCAGGTCAGGTCACAGGTCAGGTCACCAAAGGTCACCAAGGGTCACCACATGAACCCAACTTTACTAAGGTTGTGCGATGCATGTTTTATGGCCAGTTTTTCATTTCAAACTCAATGGTGTTGGTTATAAGACCATCAGGTACGGTTTAGGTCACTTTCTGGTGGAGGTCAGGTCAAGGTCAGGTCAAAAAAGGTCAAATTTCAAAGTTGATATTTTTGCATAAAATAGGTATTGATTCGATGCAGCTCGTCACGGGGAGTCTAATGGTGGTCTTTGTTTTGCGCTACGAGGTCTAGAATTGCTAAAAATTGAGTTTGAAATTTTGACGTCATCAATTTTGAACAGTTTTTTTCGCTATAACTTGGCCCAAAAAAGAGGTATCGATCTCAAATTTGGTATGTGGATAGAAGGTGGTAGGGACTATCACATATCTTCCGGTTTTTCGAAATTCAAAAAACTTGTTGGGTTTTTCGGCTATTATATTTAAAAAAAATTGGGGGGTCAAAATCCAAAACAAATCAAAAATCCGAGATAACAGTTTTGTAGCCCTCTAAATTCTACACCTTTTATGGCCAAAACATTGTTCTGTATCTCTAAAGCTGTAGGCCTGACAGCTCTTCTCGCGAAGCCTTTTTTTGGGTCGAAAATGGCGGAAATGACGTCACTCTGACGTCATTAGCGTCCAACCTGTCATAGCCTTTGGAAAAATTTTTGGTCACAATGTGCAATAGCTATTCACGGGAGGGTACTGAAAGTTTGGTGACGATCGGCGCAGCGGTTCTCGAGATATATCGAAAAAACTAAAGGGGGGGGGGGGCAAAAAAAAATCTCCCCACCGCCTGGAATGTTAATATATAATATACTATCTCGCGACACATCAGACAATGTTCTTTAGCGTTAAGTTAACATATATTTATGACATCACAATTGCATTAAAACCAGAAGGCAAGTAATATGCGTCATGTGGTTATTAGTCATACGCGTGCTAATCGATCTAAAAAAAACTTTCTATTCCGCCCGACACTCATTCATCCCCAACCACCCTCAACAGTCCACTCCCAGGTCCTTTTTCGTAGAGCATAGTTGAGAAGATGGCGTCGACGCCCATTCGCCCCCCCCCCCCCCCCCTTCCTTCCTCTACATCAGATATGTACAGCTCAGAAGAGGCTGCCGCAGTCCTGCGGCGTCACCGACAGCTGGCTGGTGTCCGAGCCGGCGTCAGCCAGGATCCGAGTGTACTCGTCCTGCACCGCCTGGTCCATGGTGGGCTCACGCGACAGGAACCAGGCGTACTCGAGAATGATGTCCCCCAGCGGTGTGCAGGTGTAAACCAGCGCCGAGGCGCTGTAGTCGGTGCGGATCACGTTGTAGGAGCCCTGGAAGCCCTCGTCGAAGAGCACGCTGAGCTCGGCGGGATGCGCCGGGTCCTCGGCGCGCGCTGTGCCCGTGATGGAGTCGATGACGCCATCCGGCTTCCTGCCGCGGTTCTCCAGGCGGACAGAACCGTCGGCCTGGAGGGTGTAGTTGGTCTGGACGCAGGTCTCGCCCACCTCGCCGATCAGAGGGTACCGCTGGATCTCGTACCAGTGACCCGCGTACTGCAAACATGACAGAGAGGCACACCAGCCCGTCAGAATGGCGCGTTGCAACCTATCGTCGAAACAGTAGCCTACGACTCATGTTAATGCAGTTGCGTCATGCTTGTCTCATTGATAGTTGGCATAACTGCTTCCGGCAAGACTATCGTCGGTTATTGGTTAGCAAACGTCACAACACATTTATATTCCTCTCTTCCCCGATTCTTTCTCTCCGTCTTCAGATCCAGATGCTTCTGGTTTGGGAAGGCCTTTCCACTAAAGAATAAAGCCAGTCATTCGGTCATGTTTACAAACCTGCACACCCTCACAAATCTAAACTAAACTGCCAGAACCATTGATGCTCATCCGATTCAATACACTTGGTCCCAGCTGCTGAGGAAGCTCTGCTCACCTGCGCTGCTTCGAACACCTCCAGGGAGGGGATGTCGGGACAGGCGGCCATCCCGGAGGCCACCAGGCCGCAGACGGTCAGCAGGGTGGACAGCATGGTGAACGTGAACCTGTTGGAGATGACGTGAGGAGTGCCTACGAGCAGCGCGGTAGATACGCACCTTTATAGGCGCACAGTGTCACGCCCAGACGCCAGATACGGGATTATATAAGGTGTTACAGATATCGCTGGGAAAGTTCACGGATGGCCACATCTGTACAGGGAATCAGTGTGTCGCCACCGAAGTTAAACACAGTGATGTGTGCCGGTGCCCTTCGAAATAGCACGAATCACAAACTGATTGGTGTTTTTTTCGTCGGTTAAGCGCTTAACTTTCAGCGTACATCGATAATGATCATTTCTTTGGCAATCCAAATTGAGGTCGGACAGCATTATACGGGATTTACCTATTTTGGTGAACTTAATTCGCGAGAAATTACCTTAACGAAAAGGTCTACCGTTTAGGTACCAGTGTAGGACATTTTAGGTACCAGTGTAGGACATATCCAAGTCATGATTTCATACCTTCAAGACACTGTGATCCAACCTACGCGAATTATAGTTTGCGTCGCAATTTTCCTTTGTGCGGCGTTTCGTCGGTTTGGACTTCTTGGACGACAGCGCGACACCATTCAGCCCATTGACCTCTCCATTAGCAGTGATTTGCTCGATATTTTGAGTTCTCAGGTCTGTACCGGCAAGCGGGCCGTACCACAATGGACACATTATTCAAATTTCACTTCAAAGACAGTGTGGAGCGACGGTGTCGGGACGGGCGCCGTCTGTCGTGGAATCCGATCCCAGAGGACTGTCTGGCCGCAAATACCTGTCGGCCCTGTGTGCGGGTCGCCTAACAGACGCCCATGTAGCCTTCCTCAGCCGGATGTGCCGTCCGCCAGTCGCTGGTGCGTTTGTGCGAGTCCTCCACCCCCGGCCCCCGTCCTGCTCCTGTCCCCGTGCGAATATATTAGTCGGATATCAACACGAGGCAGCAGCGGCTTACCGCGCCACGCACCGACGTACCTTTACATATAATACAAGTAGGCACATACATATAACGCGGCCAACACCATTGAGGAAAGGCCACTCGCAGCTGGCCTGTCATTGATCCAGCATGGGATGGTAGATCATGCATGGTTCGCGGAATGCTTCTTAGCTGTGTCGTAAAGTGGCGATTTGCTCCCCTCCTGGAGAAAATAGAGGAAAGATCAGCAACAAATAGTCTAAGCCGACCAGCATAAGCTACGAGTAATGGTGAAAAGCCGCCAAGGCGTGCGATGTGGAACATTACACGCATGATGCGATGAAAGAAAGCGCGCAACTTTCCTGAAGGTAGGTAATGGCATGGGTGGAGTGCAAAATATTGTGTCAAACGCACAGTGCGAACTAAGCAGCTTTTGTTTGTTTGGTGTCTTATCCTGGTGTTTAGTCTGAATTGCTAAGCTAAACGTGTGTTTGTATAATGATTAGGTATCATAATTCAGGGATAACAAATTTGAATGTTCACAGAGGCATATCGATATGAATTGTGCCTCGCTGCGCTGTCCAAGTGGCTCCTTATTCATTCATTCATTCATCCATTCATCCATCCATTCATTCATTCATTCTCATTCATTCATTCATTCATTTATTCATTTCCACATTTCAATGCCTTGATGGAAGCACTTGCGCAGTTTTTGGAAGTCTTTAACTGAGCATATAGAGCACAGTGACGTGACGTCGACGCGGAGGTCGGGGTCGGGGTCTTTAGGCTGAGGTCGAGATCAAGGACATCGCGCTGCACAATGGACGTCTGTGATCTCGTATTAATTACGTAGTTATTCTTATTCATGCATTTGTATTACGAGTATAACAGAGATGCAGCATTTATAACCGACATAAAATACATCCCATCTGAATGTATGCATCGCAATTTTGGCTATGGCGTCTCTCAGCTATCGTGTCTGAGCACGCCCGTATTTTCGCAGCAAGAGCAGTTTTGAATCGTTCAGTTACTATTATCAATGTCACGGCAATGAATAAAATATGAGATTTATGATGTGTGTGTGTGTGCGTGCGTGCCATTTTTTAGGTTATTCAAGCCGGCAAATATGAAGGTCGAGGACGTTTATATCAACAGTTCCTGGAATTGGCGTGCCATAACGCTTTGAATTTGCCAATCCTATACGTAAAGCTGCACGCCAGTTGGCGTTTTGTGATACCTGTATACGTAAATCATCGGTGGATAAGTATACCTATCCACGGATGATTTACGTAGGTACTTACCTATCTTGTACATACCTATAGGTACAGGAAACAGTGTCTTGTATGTACATCTGGCTAATTCCTTATCCGGAAATAATTCTGCAGTCGAAATGACTTACAGGTCAGGTCACTGACAAATCAGTGCACACATTCCCGTGCAGCCTTATGAAGTATATAAGGACAGAAAAGATGTTTGGTCTGTCAGGTGCCTTATGCATTGCGCTCACGATACACACACTCGGGGAGTCAGCGGCGGTTTCTGATGCCTCACACAAAAATAAGGGACGGGAAGATCTGCCCTTTGCCCACTGACAACGGTCCGGCAAAAGCTTGCAATTGGTCCACGTGATTTTCAGAAGGCAACGTTCCTGTTTTGGCAGAGCACATCCTTGATATGACTATCATATTGATAACCTTTGGTAGCGACTGTCACGCTGTCCACACACATCGACTGGGTTCGAGGACTTTTAATCGCTGGCCCACCACCTTACAACACTATGCAACAATAACGCTGCATTTCCGACAAGGTCTGAGCTGTAGAATGATGGTCCATTTGTAAATAAACCGCGCCAGGTGTGCGCGCCAGCGCTGCTGAGGCCAGCTGAAGTACCTATGGCTTACAGCGAACGAGTGGACGGGGTCACCTGTCATATCATTGCCAATGCATGCCAACGCCATCATTGCAGTGCTGCAACGTGTAATTATTGTTATTGTTTGATTGTTTTTGCTATTCAGCGTGTTTCCACAGTCTGATGAAATCTGGTCACTTGTGACCAATAAATGAAGCTTGTAATAATACTTTGTGCTTCTTGATTTGACAATGATTTTCCAGTGCCCTCTTGTGTCATGCAAAAGTTGCCTGCTTGTTATGTTGGCTGAAAGGTGTGTTGACTTTAACCTATAGGTAAAAGACGACGACTGGTGGTAACAACAAACATGATTGAATGATGCACTGGTACACTCGTAGGTACTCATAGGCTGATAGGCTTTTTGTGGAAATTTTAATTCAAACTTTCTTTACAATCGTGATCCTATAATACCTATAGAACAAGACTGATGATATTGCATTGCCGTCAAGGCCACCGCTGCGTGAATATTTTCCGCGCAACTGTATGACGAATATTGCATTTTTACAGCCAGTTTCACTGGAAATGTAATATTCATTTTCTTTATCTACACGGTACGGTGTAACATGAAATAGTGCCATGGATTGTAAATAATGTCTTCATTATTTCCAGGCGACACGAAAGCATGCCAAAGTTTCATTAATGCCGCAATGAATTTTATTTAAGTGGTTTCACAGAAACATCGCCAATAAACATTTAACACCGATATGGTTATGAATACATATAACTATGTGGTTGCACACACAACTACAGTGGCAGGATATAACAACAACAGCATGGAATATATGAATTATCACTTATCACGATTGACACCAAGTACTCCGTAGTTCGCACTACTAAACCACACAGTACACACTACATACACATGATTGGTATGCATACCTAAAAGTGTTGCATTAAACCGTGCACACATCGCAAAGTTATGTGTATTTCAATAAAAGGATGCAGCAATTGTTGACTAAACACCCACTAGGTTACTAAAGCTAGCATCTGAACCCTGAAACAGAAAACTCCGATGAGAAAGCAGACACGACTTGAATCACAACCACATTCTCACAATAAGTAATGTGGCGTTGGCGTATGAAATTCACAGCTACATAGGGCGAATGGGTTTGAGGCGTTGTTATGGAGGCGCGTTTATTTTTTAGGCTTTAAAACAACGAAGATTCTATTCGCTTTTTTACTTTTCTCACATTATTACCCATGCGTGCTGGAAATCGACACAGCTTTACATACTGTGATAAACGAGACTACCATTTAAATAAGCCTGTTCTTTGCCTATCTTGCTAAATTCATCTGAATAGTTGCAAAGATGTACAACACGTTTCACGCTCTTGCTTTAATAAATAAGAGCCGTTCAGTTTTGTCTTTGCTTTTGCTTTATTTGCCATCTAGGCCCAAGACTTGATGATGGCCAACAGGCACTTGCGGTAGTCACCCGAAGTGTCATCAGCCACCGCCGCCGCCAGGCTCTTTCCGTAGTTGAGCTGGTACTTCTCCTTGACATTCTCCAGATCGATCTCGGACCGCGATACCAGGATCCTAATGAGGGCTCCGTCATCGGTACCCAGCCCGCGCATCGCCCGGTACAACTTCTCGGCAAAGTAAGCCGGCTGGTCAGAGATGCACTGCACCATCGTTAGCAGGCCTGTCTTCATGTCACCGCTGAACTCGGACCGGATCGCCTTCTCGATGCTGTTGGCCTTGGCGCTCACCTGCGGATAGATCTCGAACACCCTGCGCAGCAGCGCGCAGCCTGTCTCGCAGAAGATGCGCACGAACACGGCGGCGTCCTTGCCGCGTCGCGCCTCTCCGGCCGCGTGCAGCTCGACGGCCAGTTCGCGGGCGCGGTTTTCTCCCACCAGCTCGTCTTCGTTGCGACCCAGCTGGACGAGCCCGAGGATCAGCTGCCTGAAGTCGCCGCTCAGCTCCGACCGAAGCTCGGCCTCCAGAGAGCGGCCGTGCATTCTCTGGTAGGCCTTGACCACGTTCTGTACCTCTGCCTGCGAACGGCCGCAGAAGATCTCGATGAGAGTTTTCTCGTCCGTGCCCAGACCCTTCATGGCTCGGCGTGTCCAGCTGGCCAGGAACTGGTTCTCCCACTGCATGAGGGCCAGCAGGGTGGCCTGCAGATTCGCAGAGGTCTCACGCCGCAGCGCCGCATCGAGGTTCTCATCAAACTGGACATTATATACGTCCTCGAGGTACTTTCTCTCTTCGACGGTGTATTTGGTGAGGATGCTGATCACGACGGCCATGTTAACGGGTTTCTGCAGTGCGCGATGCAGCTTCTTGGCCTGGCCGGTGGCTGCTTCCTCGTCAAAGTCCTTGTGTGGCTTGATAGTCCCACGTGGCGTTGTGATAAGCGGCTTGGCATTGTTCGAGCTCCTTTGTTTGACTTTGCTACGTCCAGGCATTGTGCCTTCAGACATTGACACTATGGAGAAAGTAATTGGTTTCTAATGGACAGTCATGTGCCGTGGATGTTTCTGTAACACTTAGTCATAATATTTTGTAGTTGGTGTTGAAGGCTAAATTATTGGCTCAGTTTCAGCACATCAAGACGTTGTAGGACCACAAAAGCAGCCAGCCACGTTTTTACGTAAGTCAGTGCTGCTCTCCTCCACACCTGAGTGACAAAATATCTTGGTGATAATTGGTTGGCACAAACACCACTGTATATCCTTTTCGCACCATTGCTACACTGTATGCTGCTCGATGTCACCAGTCACCAACTAATGTCACTGGGAACCCCGCCACTCAAAGATGGAAGACTCGGACTGTGCGCACCCGCTCGGCAGCACAGGTAACCGATGCACTGACCCAGGCGTCGACCTCAGTCCAGCCCTTGGCTCCCAAGTCCCAATCAACGTCTGTTGTTAGCAACATGGGCTGCCCATCCCCACCCCACCTCCCCTGACCCCTAACACAGCTGAACCGGACCAGCAGCCGCCCGGAAACACATTAGGCAACGGTAGCGTGTGCGAAGGCCAGTGCAGGAATAGGCGTAATAGTTTAATCACTATAGCCAGCCCGTGCATGTATGCATGGATAATTATTGAAATGCAGCAATGACCGGCCTACAACCGTTTATCGTAAAAACGTTAATAAATCATGCACCGTAAGCGATAGCTTAGGTATTGTTAAATAAAATTGCACCCATGGATGGCTCAGCGTATCGCTATATTCCCATCCTCAAACGTACAACAAAAGTAAGCAAGCCGAACAATTACAACATAACAATTGCAATGACAACAAGAATAATTCCCTAGAACAATTAAAGGAGCTCTTGAGCATTTTGTAGGAGCTCTTGAGGAAGCAAAGATGGCGATGAACAACAGCGGCTCCCACAAGTCCCTTCGTCAACCGGCTAGTAAAACCATCAACATTTCAACGGCGTCATTGTTATATGGAGGTCATAATCCTACAATAATGATAATAATACTAAAAATAGGTACATTGTGCTTACCTGCCTTTTGTTATCAAATTAATCGGGGTACGATTGGTACGAATATAGGTAATTGTTTGAACTTGCATGAGTTTTACTAACGGCTACGTTTTGGGAACAATGGAGTTTTTGTATTATCTTGAATAAAGTGTACCTAATTTGAATTTCTTGTGACATTTACAATGCATAAGTATTTTATAAATAAATAGGTTTCTTTGAAGTGGCGAAATACGTATATGATTATTTACTAGCCTACTGGTAAGCAAAAAAAAAACTATAGTCTATAATCACCTGAAGAAACACAACACATTTAGAAATTCCTGCCATTTTCATTTCACTTATTGCACTTCTGCCCGACGCTACGTTTCTTCGCGTATGTTCATCGAGCGTCAGGTGTTTGTCAGTGTAACTTCATCGGTAATAACAGGTTTGAAGTCGCTAAGGCTCAGAGCCTTGCCTGCACTCAGCTATTCCGAAGGTTGCGTTACAACTGCTCGTCACTAATGCGTTTCGTCCAGCGTACCGATTGGTGGCACGCTTCCCTATGTAAGTACAGCCCACCGCTAAAGTAATGTAGGGTTTTACCAATCTCAACGGTTGGTTTTGACTGGCGATTCTTTAATGCGGAGTGATCGAAAAGAAGATGTCAATAGCTAAAGTTGCAGCTGCAAGGGTGACGATACATATAAGCTACATTCAAAGTTTCATTGTAGTCTGGTTAATCGTTCCTAAGCTTCAGAAGCAGAACATACCCATGACTGAAACCGCACATTACTTCTGCTGTGGACTGTACCACGCCGAAAAGGTGCTCACTCTGTGCGATTGATAGGGGGCGCCCAGCGGCGTTCCCTGCTGGTGCACGTTCACGGTCGCGGTTGAAGAGGTATCGCTCACTGTTGCCGCACACGCCAATCACGACAGGGGTCAATGTATGTATGTATGTATGTAGTATGTACAGAGACATGTCACGGAATAGCGGGGCGGGTGCCGCTGGCGGGCTCCCAGTCGAATCAATGGCATTGCTTGGAGACGGTGACACCACACACAGCTGCGGCCGGGCCCCAAACACTGAAACGAAACCGATCGGGGCCGCTGCTGTCTGCCTACGCCCTTGTGGCGCTCAATGCGCATCGTTGTGGCACCACCTATGCATGTAGCTTTGTACACTACATAGCTTTACTGTGGCGGCAGATCCGGAGACGGTCTCAGAATACTCACATACTTTTCCAAATTTCTTCAGTTTTATGACTCGCAACTGACTCCGACGCACTCAGTTGTGCATGTGCAGTATGCAATCTATTGGCTGCGTTTTTGTCTTTTCGGCGGGATACCTGCTCGGCCACCTACTCTGCTTGGCACTCATTTGTGCAATACGAGTGACTTCGCATTGATCGTGCTGTATCGACAAAAAGACTGGGTCGTTCAACTCAGGCCTTATTCCATACCCCGACTTATACTTTGCAGCCCCATGCTAAAAAGCTGCCCAAAAAGCTGCCCGAGAATCCCACGCATTGCTTTTTGCGGCAAATGGCGTGTATCCCTAGAGCTCCGGGGTTTAGACTATGCTCCCAGACAAGGGATCACTGCTCTCTGTTCTGGCCATTAGCTATCAGACGCCGGGCCAGACACACAGACGTCTGGGCGTCTAGACACTGGGCTGATTTGGTTGGTTTGTCTGATTTAGTTGTAGGTATCGTAAGTGTTTTGTTTTGGAAGTATAGCATTAAAACGTAGTCTACTATGTGTTTTTTGTTGGTTTTGATAATTTTTGGGCATTTGCCTCTTCCGCATCGTCTGAAATATCAAATATATATATCATTTTGCCTTCAACTTTGCGATATAAAAAAACGCTTTATTAAAATTGCACGGTTACACAATCGCATAAGGAAGCAAAATCCGAGTTTTTTTTATAGAATAGCCCTTACTTGGAGTCCCCACCTCTCTCTCTCTCTCTCTCTCTCTCTCTCTCTCTCTCTCTCTCTCTCTCTCTCTCTCTCTCTCTCTCTCTCTCTTCTCTCTCTCTCTCTCTCTCTCTCTCTCTCTCTCTCTCTCTCTCTCTCTCTCTCTCTCCTCCGCAGCGTCCGCCTTCCAATATCTCATTTCCCTTTCAATGGTACGGCTCAACAATCAACATGGCCAAACGTTCCTTGAACGTTGCGACAGCATCGGATAGCTAGTACACGGCTTATTATGTAGACAGACAAGTCTTTGAATCGGCAAGCTGTTTGCATTAAATTAAACCTATTTTTCTTCCTTAATTAATGACATAAACACGGCATCATTGATGCAGTCACTTCACTTTCTCCACGCATAAAATGTGAAAATTATCAGGTGGTTAGGGTCTGTATGTACCTAATTTAACCCGGCAGGCGGTGGGCCTCCCGGCCACCTTCCGCGCAGTGGGGGGGGGGGCATTTTTTGCCCCCCCCCCCACTGCGCGGAATCCGGAATCTCCGAAACTACTGGACGGATCCGGAAAATTCAAACGGCGTTCGATAGCCCTATCAAATTTGTTGAGGAAAATCAAATTTCATTGACCTCGGGGTCACCGATGACGTCACAGGTCAGGTCAAAGATAAAATGTTTCACCGTTCACGGGGCTTCTAGGGAAAGCGCTATAACACCGAGTAAAACGCATTTTGTCGAAAATCAGCGATAGGGCGTCAGTTGTCTAGTACATATGTTGCTATTAAAAGTCACTGGTCATACCAGGTCAGGTCACAGGTCAGGTCACCAAAGGTCACCAAGGGTCACCACATGAACCCAACTTTATTAAGGGTGTGCGATGCATGTTTTATGGCCAGTTTTTCATTTCAAACTCAATGGTGTTGGTTATAAGACCATCAGGTACGGTTTAGGTCACTTTCTGGTGGAGGTCAGGTCAAGGTCAGGTCAAAAAAGGTCAAATTTCAAAGTTAATATTTTTGCATAAGATGGGTATTGATTCGATGCAGCTCGTCACGGGGAGTCTAATGGTGGTCTTTGTTTTGCGCTACGAGGTCTAGAATTGCTCAAAATTGAGTTTGAAAGTTTGACGTCATCAATTTTGAACAGTTTTTTCGCTATAGCTTGGCCAAAAAAAGAGGTATCGATCTCAAATTTGGTATGTAGATAGAACGTGGTAGGGACTATCACATTTATTCCGTTTTTTTCGAAATTCAAAAACTTTTTGGATTTTTCGTTTTTTATATTCAAAAAATCTATTTTTTATTTTTGAAGGTCAAAATCCAAAAATTTCAAAAATCCGAGATAACAGTTTTGTAGCCCTCCTAATTTTACACCTCTTATGTTTGAAACATTTTTCTGTATCTCTAAAGCTGTAGGCCTGACAGCTCTTCCCGCGAAACCTTTTTTTGGGTCGAAAATGGCAAAAATGACGTCACTCTGACGTCATTAGCGGCCAACCTATCATAGCCTTTGGAAAAATTTTTGGTCACCATGTGCGCTAGCTACTCCCGGGAGGGTACTGAAAGTTTGGTGACGATCGGCGCAGCGGTTCTCGAGATATATCGAAAAAACTAAAGGGGGGCAAAAAATGCACCCCCACCGCCTGCAAGGTTAAATTAAGTATATTATGTACTCTATGATTAACTGTAATGGTTTAGCTAATTATAGTTTATAGGTACTTTTTAGTTTTGGAATTGCGTTTACGCAATTGAACTGCTTTAACCAGATTTTGATAAAACCTTGATTGTTTACGCTGCCCAGTTTTGATGTTTCATCGCTGCCAAACAGTTAAAGGGTATGACCCGGACACATCAATAGCACTGCTTGTCGATTAGGGAAAAAGTCTCGGTATCATACCTATATCGTAATATGAAGTGCGAATATCCAGCATGGTACTTGACACTTGACCAAAGAGTGCAGTCCTTTGTTATTTGTCCTTTTAGAAAAGAAAAGACAATCGTTTTCTTCGAAGGCTTAAATGAGAAAGCTTGATATAAAATTTATGGCAGCCTCAGGCACCATGACTGATGACAAGTAGTCTACTTACTGCACTTGCATTCCATTTCATCGCCCAACTGTTGCATGTTCTTTGGTGAGCTTGCATTCGGCCGACTTCTTTGTTTTGACCCTACGACTATATATATATATATATATATATATATATATATATATATATATATATATATATATATATATATATATATATACGGCCTTGGTTTTGACGCTAGCCCTTGGCAAACTGACAGATGATAATAATAATAAAAACAGATCAGTGCGCTCCGCTCATCTATCGCCTGTGAGTGCTGTGTACCGACTGGTGAGCCGGTATGATCGTATGTCAGCCGCCTGGTAAACAGACGGTATTGCTGTCCCCCGTCTCCTCTGAGCCCGCCCGCGAGCTCCTTGTGCCGGTCCGCCGCCGTGGTTAGCGCCCCAGGGCAGCCAGCCGGGCAGTCTTATTACCAATCGCGCCAGCACTCAGCATGTACTCGAGACGTACTCCGCCGTCTTCGAGAGCCCTCCGCGGCCGCCATATAGCTTCGAAGAAGGATGCCGACTGAAATTGAAATCCTGTTTGAAGCTGGAGGTAACATGAACGCAAGGGTTTCTCAATGGTGCTTCCGTACTGAGAATCTTGTTCGTGTCCCGCCATCGATGTTTCTTTTTTTAAAATGGACAATGGGGATGTAGATCCTGTCTGATCACTGATTATTATGCTTGTGCTCAGTTCAGTCTTGTTGTTTTGTTGGGGCTATACATACGTATCTTAGTTGTTTGATTACGCAAACATGAAGGACGTCTTGCCACCTAATTAACCAGCGCCCCAGTGGCGGTCTCAGCTAACTTCGCCCTAGTGGGGGGGGGGGGGGGCATATGTTACCACCCACCTCTAACTCAAAAACTAAGAGGGCTAGAAAAAAGACGCGGTAAAAAGCAGTCGATAGCTCTCAATGCGTACGTTTGAAAGTATTTCGGTCATTTTTCATCTTAGAGCAATATTGGGGTCACCAGAGGTCATCAAAGGTCAAAATTTGCCAATGGTCATTATATTTTTCAGAAAACATGCCGTTATCTCAGGAACTATGGTAGCTAGCAATCGATAGCTTTTCAACTCTTCTTTTTATAAGGTCATTATCAAAATTGACCTCAGGTCAACGGTTTAGCCTCCAGAGGGCAAAAACTCCAAAAATAGCTGTTTTTACGAAAAGTGTTTTTCGACAATAACTTTTTACTTAAAAAAAGCTAGGGCATTTCTATTGCCAGAATCGTATTCATCTCGCCGAGACGCGTTGAATAAACTATAATTTGACCTTGAAAGGTCAACTTCAAAATTTGACCTCTGGTCAAGGTCATGACCTGACCGAAAAAGGTCATGTTGCATATCAGTTGATGCGTCTCGGCAAGACAAACACAATGAGGCCAACCCCATGAGCGTTCTATCTCTTTCCAATCGAGAGTTATTGGCAAAAAGCTGTTTGTAGCCTCAAATGACCTCGGATGACCTTTCTAGAGGCTATCAGCAAAAAAAGACACCTTGGTCGTCACAGGTGGTCCAGATCATTGTCCAGATTGTCCAGATCTGAAATATTTGGACTGTTCCTATGCGTACACACGGATCTAAAGGCATTTTCGTTTTTCTCCATTGACTTATAATGGAAAGGTCACGCCACTGACCAGACCTTAGGTCACGCATATAAAAAATCAGAGATATACACATTGTAGGCACCCATAACATCATGCAATCCACCAAGTTTAAAACCTCTCTGACAAACACTGCAGGCTGGACATGATTGCAAACTTTTTAGGCTTGGTCAGTTAACTTGACCTGGTGACCTGACCTGACACGACCTGGGGTCAAAAATTTCACACATTGTCCAAAATTGATGTGCAAAAAGTTACCCCAAGCGGCGCGGCGCTACGCGCCGCGGTTTTCTATTCACACGCAAAAAACGCGACAGGGTGGTAACATATGCCCCCCCCCCCCACTGGGGCGAAGGTTAACCCGCGCCCCGCTGGGGGGGGGGGCAGAATCTGCCCCCCTGCCGTTTTTCACCGATAACTTCTAAACGCGTTACGCCAGCGACGTCAAACTTTCAGTACCTTTTCATACATCAATTTGACACGTTCCCTGAAAATTTGAGCGAAATCCATCGGAAACTTTTTGAGAAAATGACGTTTTAGTGACGTCATGTTCGCCATTTTCGCCTCAAAAACGGCAAAATTTCAAACGCCGCTAACATCTTCATTTTCAAAGGAATCATCAAGACGTAACAAAAAAAGGTTGTACGTGATTTTACTTTGTCTATCAAATGGCTATCTCAGTTTTTTGAAAATTTTGGATTTTGGCCCATTTTTTTCTTAAAAAAACTGACTTTTTGGGAAAATAATTATAAAATCCAAAATTTTGAGTATATCGAAAAAACCGGAATATATGTCAGAGAATTTGTCGCATGGTGGCCGAACATGAGTGCGTCAGTTACGTTAGTCCTGCCTGAGGTAAAAATGAAAGATGAGGTCATCAAAAATAAATTGATAATACCATGAAAGGTCAGGTCAATATTTTGTGCAATCAAATATCACCGCAAGATTACTTTTCTTTCACTGTGCAAATGGCAATGGTCGCAAAGGAAATTTACTCTAATGAAGTGGCGGCCATGCTACCATATTCAAGAGCTACCAAATAACCTTGAATATTTTTGCTACGAAAATGACGCAGGATCAGCAGGAGGAGGATGTGTGGGAATGCTGCGTTTAAATGGTTATCTTTTCGCGTTTCTGACAACTTGGCGCCTCAAGATACACTATTTTGTGGGGATTTATTATTTAAGCTCCTATAGTATTGAAAGTGCCAGTTGATATTGGCATTTAATGCGAGGAAGATGAGCCAGAGCCGGCGAGCCATTTTGTCGACGTTCATCGTTACACCATCATAGGTAGGTAGGTAGGTACCCGCAAATCAAAATTGGTGGATTCATAAATATCTAGGTTTTCAAGGCTGTGGTACACACTCCCAACGCACTCCCCAAAAACTCCCCAAAAACTCGCAAAACCTATGGATTCCAATCCCGGCATGAGCAGAGCAGACATCGCTCGAAGGTTTTCCAATCTTGATCTTGGGTTCTCCAACCTTACCAAGGAGAGGGCTGTAGGTTTTTAGGTTTGTAGGTTATAGGTTGCAGGATGTATGTTAGGTTAGGTCAGGATAGGTTTGTTTTGTTTTGGTTAGAATAAGCATTTCTGGGTATGGCGCCTGTCCTTCGTTTGAGAACCTTCGTGTGATGTCTGCTCTAAATACCCAATTCCTTCCTTGCTATGATGCAGACATGCACTGTGGTGAAATGCAAGTTTTAAAAACAAAAATTACTGAGTTTTTTCTTGTTCAAGATCATGAATTTTGCCTTTTTATTATAGGCAAAATTCTTATTAGAAAATTATATTTCACTCCAAAAAATATGAAAATAGGTTCCAGTTGTCCACTTGATTTGCCAGTGCTTTTGTTGCCTGGGTTAACAATGAAATGTGTGTTCTTCATTTGTTTGTGCAGACCACACAGCCGAGATGCAGGGTGTGGTGACTGGTGCTTTATTGATGTGTTTTAATGGTCTTATTCTGATTGCGCATCTGGTTTGTAGAATTTAAACAAGATGTGGTGTTTAATGACATGGTGACACCTGACGTCTACCTATGATTTGCCCATGACTTGTAATGAGACTCTGAAACAAGCAAAACTTAGCTCAAAATATAACTTTTACTAGTAGAAGCATTGCTGACTGTAGAGTATCTAGCAAGTACCTGTTAATGCAGTATATAGGTAACAGTGTGATAAAGAATGCCACATTAGTAGAAATACAGTTGAAAACCAATGCCTGCAGACTGCAGAGTGGAGGCATATTTCCAGGATTGTAACATAACACATCATTAAAGGTGCTTAATAGAATGCCTTCATGCAGGGCTTCCAGCCTGCTGCTCAGATTTGGAACCTAAAGCTCAGCATATTGTAGGTAGATGATGACATTATCATTGTCCTCAGTTTAGAGTTGCCCTCTCACAGTTTGCCAGCTGGCCTGAATAACAATGCAGCTCAAAGAACAGCCAGTTTGCACTCTCCTGGTCTCAGGTTCACTGCTTCTGAGTGACCATCAGGGTCCCTTGGCATCAGGTCACAAAGAGGACAACTTCAGCTCACCATATGTTGAGATAGATCCTAAACTTAATCCAGCAGGAGATCTCATCTCACTATCATCTTTCTTACTTAATAATTGTGTGGCTTGATTCTGAAATCAACCATTTTTTCCTTTGCTAATTAATTATAAAAATACTGGTCATCTCTCCTGATATTTGAAAGTGTGTGTTATTTTGACAATTATCCAAATGCATCTGTCCATGTTTCAAGATGTATTGATACAATTACCAGCACTTCATCACAGTTCTTTGATACACTGACACAACTGGCCACACACCTGATAATATGCATCGTTAAAGTCACACATATGCTTATGAGGATAGCGGCAACTATTTACCTGAATAATGGACTAAACTAGCTACCTTACTGCCAGCCTGTTCTTCCATGTGATGCGTCCTTTCAAACATACACGATGATATGAATCAGGGCTTGCCTTGGCCACCCCTCTTTGGGCGACTCGGGTGACAGATGCTAACGCAAACACGGGAGGCAAACGAGAAACGCATTCATGTGGCCTGCTGAGAGGAGCACGGGTTCTGCCGAAAGTCGAGCTGAAAGCCGGCTCCGGTCCGCTGGTGATTGGAGACAAACTTGACGACGAACTGGCCAGCGGAGTAGTCTGTCGGAAAGACGGCTGAGTTAGGATACGGTTAGGGCGTGGGTCGTGGGCGTGATTTGGCTGTTTGTGCACTGCTAACTGTTTGGTTCATGGTATATATGTAGTTTACAGTAGGTTACGGTCTAGAAGAGGGCCTAACCTAAACGATAGACTGAATGCGACGCAGTGTCTTTGAGAGCGAGAGGCAACCCTTGGGGTGGCCGTCCCATCCGACTGTTGCTTTTAGGTTCTGTATTTAACGGCAGCGAGCGTTAGCTAAAGAACCTAAGAATAAAGTTATGCTTAGTGTCGAGTTCTTTTTTGTTCTTATGAAGCTCATGACATCGTTTCAAATTTCATCCAGAGATTTGCATGTAACTTCGCTTGCACTTTTCAGTCTGTTAACCCGCGAGTTGCTGGGGGGGGGGGCGTTAAACGCCCCCACTTTTTTCGCCGGGCCATAGCATAAAAACGGCGCGCCGCAGGCGCGCCAAATTTTGGGTACCTGTAGGGAATTGATTGAAGTTTATTGTGACAAAGTTTCAAAAAAATCGGTCGGAAATTTTTTTGAGATATCGAGGTTTTAGTGACGTCATGATTTCTGAGTTTTCGACCAAAAACCGCATATGTTCAAACAATCATATAAAATCACAAAATAGACATACAGACATGCCGTAAACGCCATTAGACTGCCAATACCATGAAAAATCAAATGGCTATCTTCGATTATTGATTATCGTTCCGCATTTTCCAAAATCTTGAACTGAATCTTGGCAATTTTTCGTGACTACTTCGCGACCATGATACATGCATTTCTTAAATTGAACTTTTTGAGCCAAACACGTACACATATGATAAAATGAATGTCACCATCGTGTTCTACGCCCCAAATTACCCATAAAACATGTGTCACAGGCTGCGAATATCAGTTTTGATTTTTGGGGATATGTGCCTACCCGGTTGACCTGACCTTGACCCTGACCTATGCTTGACTGACCCCTACATGGAGCTGACACTCTTGTAGGCCTTATACGATGGATTGTGCACCGTTTTGACAGAGTTTATGACGAGAGGCGCCCATTGCGAAGTCCTGAAGTCAATGCTACTGAAAGCCCGATTTCAGGTGTTTGACCTGACCTTGACCCGACCTGTGACCTCAAAATTCAACTTTAAAGTACTCATTTGAAGCGTCTCGTCGCGTTCTTTCGTTTGCCGCCTCGTGCGTTTCGCTGCGCCTATTGGTTCTCGAGTTATCGGCTGGGGGCGTTTAACGCCCCCCCCCCCCAGCAAACGGTGGGTGGCGAAATACCCCAGCAACTGCCGGGTTAACAGCTGGACTGTTCCCGGGTTGGGGACGGGGCAGGTATGGTGGCCCGTCACGCTCGCTGCATGAATGCATGAGCGGGGTTAAACCGCACGCCGCTTTCTGAGACCAAGGTCGAGGCACATCCTGCTCTCAAGGGCTGTGTAATGTGTTGACTGCGAGCATGTCGGCGAGAGTGCGGTGCTGGCAAAAGCCGCTTGCTGCTAATCATGCGACAATCCAGGTTAAAGCGTGTACTGTCAAGTGTCATGTAATTATGGCGTACACCGGTGTAAGCTATTCGCTTGTGATCTGATTTTGAGACGATATTACGGTCAACTCATATCTAATCAACGTTACCAATGTCCAAGCCATAACGGCAAGGATATTGAACAGCATTTCTGATTGGCCCCATGCTGTCCGCGGCCGAAGCACCGCCTCCAACTGGGCCCCGCCGCGCGCCACAAACCTGTGACGTCGGCGTTGTCCGTGAGCGTGCTGCTGGCGGCCGCGTCGTTGAGCCGCTCGCCGCAGAGCCGGTCCAGGCTGAGCACCAGAAAATCGTGCCGACATTTGATGGGTCCGACGCCCGCCTGGCCGGCTGGCACGGTCGGCGTGCCACCGGTAGCTGTGGCCACGATCCGAGGGTCGATACCGCCATCTGACTCGGCACGGTGACAGACACACGCACACGCGGCCACAGTCCAGTGTCGGTGCATGCAGTCGGTCAGGGGGGGGGGGGGCATGTGTTAGGGTGGGGAGGGGAGTCAACAGTATTGGGTTTGTCGGTCAGTTCGTCGCATGTCAGTTGAAAAACGTTCTTAACCAGTTAGGGTATTTCCTTGCTATATGCATAGATGTTTGCAATATTTATGTTTGTCGGTTTTTTTGCGTAGTTCAACATCCCTATGAAAAGTTCAATCGCAGAGTGGCATCACCAATTTAGCACACCATATACGGCTGATAATAATTCGAACTTTCTCGTGTTACTCTCACCTGATTCCTCATTTTCAAAGTTAACAATGTTAAACTCATTTGCCATAGCTTGCGATCCAAAGTTGTCGGTGGAGTAGGTAATGCTGCAGAAGCCCGACTCTTTCCTGATACATATCATGTAGTTGAGGTTGTTCTGCAAAAATAGTGGCCATCATCAGATTTCTGTGAAATGCTTAGGGAGTTGAACGAGTACGACTTCTTAGTAGAGGCGGGTGCAAAACATAAATGGATGCGACGCCAGAACGGCAAATATGTAGAAGAAGTCAGACATGTGCATGGATCCGAGTGATGGATCTATGATTTCAGTAGTGGATCTCGAAGCAAACTGCACGTGAGGATCTATGATCCCATCGGATCCGGCGTGAAGAATATCTTGGATCTATGGTCTCATACGATCTGACGATCACCCAAGAACATGGATCTTTGATCTGAGTGGGTCCCACCATGCACAGCAGCTAAACCATGTTTCAAAGAGTTTCTATGTCAATAAGTGCCACAAAACTATGGATTATGACGTGCAATCACATAAAATGACTAAAACAGAACGTTTGTGGGTTGCAACAAATGTTTTTTATTTCTGTGTTCACAAAAAATAAGTGAGGATCTATGGCCTCACTGGATCTCAAGCAATGTAAATGAGACTCGGATCTGTGATCCCTAGGGATCTCTCGATAAGCTCAAGAGCTGGATCTAAGATCCCGTCGGATCCGAGATCAAGATCCGTGGGATCAGATCCCAGATCCATTTTTTGGGATCCATGCACATGTCTGAAAGAAGATGAGCCCGTTTTACGACCACGCAATATTAGCAGCCTGGCTTTTATCTGCTCTACCGTTGATGCCTGGAAACGCTAGCACTTTGCCTTGTCGCTTTGAAGGGAGGAGTATGCAGTCAATGATTGGCTGGTGAGTGAAAATTTCTAGCAATTGAAGGTCTCACGTGTAAACATGCATCATACATGCATGGATATTCTAAGGCACATTGGATGAACAACTCGGCTGATGTCTATTTGTGACACAAATCTTGCAGCAATGACTAACTCATCTCACCATATACCCGCCGTCCGTCGGCTGTCCAGCCTGGCCCTGTACCGCCGGCCTGTAGTTGAAGCTGGCGATTCGGCCGGAGCGGCCGGTCAGGTACTGAAGGCACAGCGGCGGCGCCCGGCCGGCCTCGGTGCGGCGCAGCTGACTGATTCTGACCCGCCAGCGGTGTCCAGACGGTGACGAGGTGACTACCCGCAGCTGCACGGGTCCCGTCCGCTCGCCCACCTCCAGATATACTGCCGCGTTGAGACGTAAGGTGGTCAGGGCGATATATCATCAGACGGACTGGGCTCGTCAGCTGGGCGTCTGGAAGGATTGTGTTTCAAGAGTACCTAAATTTTGGCATTGTCATGAACTTTGATGAGCGAATGATTCCACACGAATAATCAGTACCTAACAGGAAAGCAACTGCAAAAAAAACCATTGCCCTGCGTTCTTAGCTGTGGAACAAATACCAAACTATCCATATGAATCCTGTCCTCCATTCCCTCACTAGCAATGTGATTATAAGCAAGTAACACCTGGTATTTTCACCTTAGCCTGACTCTCGACAATACTCACAGTGTTGACCATGGTTCTGGCCGCAGAGTGCCGGCACTATGCTGTTGCTGTCCTGACCGCTGACGCTGAACACGTCTCGTTTGCAGGTACCGCTCGTCGGTCCCGCCATCTAGAGACATAGTGCATAGCAACATATCAGCAGCGAGTACTCGGGTAAGAGAAAAGGGCATGTTTGTTAATGTTTTAGTTAATTTTTGCTGCCATGGAGCACGTGATGCTTGCTATCGACAGTCATTGCGATTGGTCCAGATACACCGAATGCAACATGGCATGCATCTTTCGCTAATTATAAAAGCATTTCTTGGCGTTGGCTAATGTTCTTAGAATAGGTGTCTAGAAATTGGAGATATAATAAGCATTTCTAGTTTCCATCTAAACTTTTCGCGGAGTTTCCTGTTTTCCATGTCACGCTGTTCTTGAATGATTGCTATCCCAAACGTTTTCGAATCATCGTATTGTCCCATTTATTCCAAGCAATTTGATACTTTGACTTTAGTTTTAACTTTTAATCACCTCTTATTTGCTCAATTTACATTCCTCCACAACCTGGTTTTCATTGCGATGTCGAATGTGAACGGCGTTTTCGTATAATTGTCCATGTCAATTAGCACGTGCTCATCCCGATTATATGGCTCTCGTTTCAGGATGGGCTCTGAGCCGCCGGCGGTGTTGCGCCAGTGCTCGGCGGAGCGGGGCGACGCCGGTCTGGCTCTGGAGCACACCATTACTCTGCTGGGACGTGGCACGGCCGTCACGCGCTTCTGCCTACGTCGGCGGCCCGAGCGAAAGTCCCTGGCCGTTCGCCGCGAGACGGGCCAGCTGATCAGCCTCAAGGCGAGCGTGCCGGACCGGAGCCGCGGCGACGACTCCGAGGTGCTGCTCGACTTGCGACTGGTGAAACAGGTGCGCCGCGGCCGGGCGAGCCGGGAGTTCGAGCGCTGGCCAGAAGATGCCCGCCGCTGCGAGCCAGCAAAGTGTTTTGTCGTCAGCTACGGTGCCGCATTCACGCTCAAGACGCTCTCGGTGGCGTGCCTGTCCGAGCGCGAGTGCGACACGTGGCTGCGCGGGCTGGAGGCGCTGGTGCGAGAGGCGCAGCAGACGCCCTATCCATCACAGGTGGTTCGCTGGCTCTTCAAGGAGTTCTACGGAATGGGCGGCTCAGTGACTCTGAAAGATCTGAAGGCGTTTTTGCCTCGTGTCAACTGCAAGTTGTCCACAGCACGGCTCAAAGAGCTCTTCCAGGAAGCAGATGGGTCGAAGAATGGTCGCATCACGTTCGACGATTTCCTGCGGTTGTACTACCGGATCGTGTGGGACCCCGCTGTGCTAGTTGGTGGCGTCGAACGGTACGTGCGTGCGGAGGAGAACGTTTCCGTGTCTGCGTTCTGTCGGTTCCTAGTCAACGAGCAGCAAGATCGGCTGGGCCGGGACGAGGCTCTGGCCGGCCAGTTCATGCGCGACTACCTACAAGAGCCGCAGAGGGACGTGAAGGAGCCTTTCTTCACTGCTGATGAGTTCGTCAGCTTCCTCTTCAGTAAGCAAAATGAGCTGTGGGACATGAGGAATGACACAGTCACGCAGGATATGACAAGGCCGCTGGCTCACTACTGGATCGCTTCCTCGCACAACACGTACCTCACAGGAGACCAGTTCTCGTCGGATAGCTCCGTAGAGGCGTACGCGCGCTGTCTTCGCGCTGGCTGCCGCTGCATCGAGCTGGACTGCTGGGATGGTCCGGACGCGACACCGCTCATCTTCCACGGTCACACGCTGACTTCCAAAATCAAGCTAGTGGACGTGGTTCGGTGCATCCGCGACAACGCGTTCGTCACGTCCGAGTTTCCAGTGATCCTGTCCATCGAAGACCACTGCAGTCTGCCGCAGCAGCGCAAGATGGCGGCCGCCTTCCACGAAGTGTTCGGCGACATGCTGCTGACGGCACCTGTCGACAAAACAGAAAGTGAGCTGCCCTCACCGCAGGCGCTGCGTCGCAAGATTCTGATCAAGCACAAGAAGCTTCCCGAAGGGTCAGATGAGGTGGTAGTCACCAGCCAAGACGACGGCTTCGATGGCCTTGACCTCAGCGACAGTCTAAAGAACGGCATTCTCTACTTGGAGGACCAGGTGTACGGCGATTGGACGCCGCATTTCTTCGTGCTCGCCAATCAGCGACTATACTTCACTGAGGAGCACTCAGCTGACCAGAACGACGAAGACGGCGAGGATTCAGAGCCGCTGCCACCGAAAGCCAATGTGCCCAATGACGAGCTACACTTTGGTGAGAAGTGGTTCCACGGTCGGCTGCAAGGTGGTCGTCCACGTGCAGAGCAGCTGCTCCGCGAGTACTCGAACCTCGGTAACGGCACCTTCCTAGTCCGTGAGAGTGAGACGTTCGTCGGCGACTACTCGCTGTCGTTCTGGCGAAACGGTCAAGTCAACCACTGCCGCATCCGCACACGACCCGAATGGGGTCAGAACAAGGTGTACCTGATCGACACGGTCACGTTTGACTGTCTGTTCAACCTCATCAACCATTACCGCACCAACCCGCTGCGCACACAGAACTTCACCATGCTGCTGACGGAGCCTGTTCCGCAGCCCAACCAGCACGAAAGCAAGGACTGGTACCATGCTGATTGCTCGCGGGACAAGGCTGAAGAGATGCTGCAGCGCGTGCCTCAAGAAGGTGCATTCCTCGTGCGACCCAGCCAGCGTGATGCCGCGGCCCTGTCTCTGTCGTTCCGGGCTGACCGCCGCATCAAGCACTGTCGCGTGCGACGCGACGGACGTCTCTACGTCATCGGCAACGTCCAGTTCGAAAGTCTAGTCGAGCTGGTCAGCTACTATGAAAAACACCCGCTTTACAAGAAAGTGCGCCTGAGGTACCCGGTGACGAGCGAGTTGGTGGCGCGTGCTGCACTGGAGAAGAACGCTCCTCCAACTGATGGACATGCTTCTGGTACCTACATGGACCCAGCCTCCTTCGCAGCTAAGGTGACAGTCAGGGCACTGCATGACTATCGTGCACAGCGTGACGATGAGCTGACGTTCTGCAAGCACGCCGTCATCACGAACGTGAGCAAAGAGAACGATGGCTGGTGGCGCGGTGACTACGGCGGGCGTCGCCAGCTCTGGTTCCCCAGCAACTACGTGGAAGAGGTGGAGGCATCGGATGAGGCTGACCCATCCGTGCTGGGTTCGCTACAACAGGGATCTGTGGCGCTTCTTCGAGCACAAGTAGAACTCCTCCCGGCCGGTCCACCGTCCGATGGTGCTCCGTCCCTAGAATGTATCGTGCGCGTACTGCCTGCCACATCTCTGACGCCGGTGGACCTCGGCTGCGCCAACTGGTCAGAGGGTCGCGACTGGGAGCAGCGGATCCGGCAAGTAGCAGAGAGCGGTCAGGAGACTGGCGGTGCTCGGAGAGACATGGAACGCATCAAGCGCATCGCCAAGGAACTGTCGGCTCTGATTGTGTACTGTCGTACAGAGACCTTCCAACCGGAGCGACTTCGCGAGTCTCGTGCCTTCCAGGAGATGTCCAGCTTCCCGGAGACCAAGGTAGAAAAGTGGCTGAATCCGCCAAACGTCAAGTTCTTCCTTTGGTACAATCAGCTGCAGCTGAGCCGCGTGTATCCCAAGGGACAGCGCATCGATTCATCCAACTACAATCCCGTACCGATGTGGAATGCCGGCTCTCAGATGGTGGCACTCAACTACCAGACTCCGGACCGGGCGATGCAGCTGAACCAGGCACGTTTCATGCAGAATGGCGGTTGTGGCTACGTGCTCAAGCCGGCGTTTATGCATGGCGAGTCGTTCGACCCGTTCGACAAGACCACGCTGCCATTCCCGCCGACTGTGTACGCGCTGCGCATCATCGCCGGCCGCCACCTGAGCAAGCAGGGCCGGGGTATCGTCAGCCCCTTCGTCGACGTCGAGGTGATCGGTGCCGAGTACGACAACTGCAACAAGTACACGACGCGTGTCGTGCCGGACAACGGACTGGCGCCCGTCTGGAACGAGACCTGTGAGTTCACCGTGCACTGCCCGCCGCTGGCGCTACTCCGCTTCGCCGTCCACGACGAAGACATGTTTGGTGACCCCAACTTCATCGGCCAGGCGACCTACCCGCTGCAGTGTGTGCGGCCCGGGCTGCGCAGTGTGCCTCTGAAGAACGGCTACGGAGAGCCGCTGGAGCTGGCTTCGCTGCTGGTCCACTTGGAGATTCGTCAGACAGAGCGGCCGCCGCCGTCGGTCAGCCAGGCGCTGGAGGGACTCGTCCTGCCCTCACCCGATGGTGGTTCGGTGATCGCCCCTCTGCGCGCGCAGTGAGCCGGCTCGTCCAGTCCCTGCGCAGACTGGACAGCCCGGCGACGCCGTGCGTGCCGCGAGGTGGTCGCTGGTGGAGGATTAGGGGCTCGTCGAAGCATGGGAGGAAAGCATTGCAGTTGATAACTGAAGAACTTCGCGGTGGAACCGCGGTTGCGAATTTACTGGAGAAGTCACCTGACCGCTGATGCGCTGTGGCAATGGGCCCATATCCCCTTGAAGTGTGAGTGGGTCCAGACAAGAGTACACAGAATAGATTGTGGTTGGACCAATGACATGCGAGCTTCAGTGTGCTTTTAATGAAGCCGCTTTGACGAGTGTCGTGGACCTCAGTGGGTCGCGAAGGGCGCGGTGTCGACCAGCTTGACGGCTGTACAGGGTGTTGATGGACGGAGCGTCTGTCTTTCCACAGATTCGTGCAACTCTTGGCGGGATTTGTACCATATATTTTCTACTTTGTTCCGCTTTGTGATGCATTATATATTGTTCTATAAGTGGCGGTTCATCCACTGTCGCGACGGCTACGCTGAGGTAATACTGCTGCTGGTGAGACGACGGAACATGCCCATTTCGGACGGGTTTTTGTAGGGTCATTAGGGATTTTGTGAACTATTTTATCCTAGGTAATGGTGAAGATCAGAAGCTGGAGCTTCCGTAGCCTGTTTTTGCTAGTTTTGTTGGGTTTTGCTTAAGCTGTCGCTACCGCAATGTGCATGCTAGGAAAATTTCGTTTTTATACCCGATGAGCATTGGAGAAGGTATTTGTTTGCTATTATTACGCTTTGCGCCGCTCTACGGCATGCTGTATATGAACTGTTGGAAATGAAAACTCCTGACTCGCCACAATGTTATGGGCTACTGGGTGCGGGCGAACGAACGTGTTTCCTGTGGCCGCTGCGCAGACGCCCTCAATGGGACGGTGGCGGGGAGCGTGTCGTGCCTTCTGTCGTGGCTGACGCGGTCAGTCGGTGTCTCTGTGCTATGAAAGCTTGTCGAGCAGGAGCCGCATGGAGCGCGGGGTAGGAGCGCAATAGAAACCCGGCCGCTGCCATCTACTGTGATTGGCGATATGGTGCTACGCGAAAAGCTAACCGAGCGAGAGAGAATGGTCTGCGGCGAGAGGCGACGACCATGGGCTTTGGTCGTCCAACTGCCGCCGTCCGGGTGCTGCCCGGTCGGTGCTGAGCAGTGCTGGCAATCAGCAGCCCTGTCGGTCCAGCTATCGTTATTTGTCGTAATATACACTATGCATTATTACTGAGTGTTTCTGTGTCAGAAGTTGGTTTGGCCTGACGATGATCACCTGGCGCGATCAATTACCTGGAATTCGGTGAGGTCAAGTCGAATCTGCGTCACATCCGGCGCTGCTTTGTGCACGGTGAGGATGCACGATCGCACTGCCACGCCCGCGACCGGGTGCTCCGGGTTGACAAAGTACGTGTTGTTGACGCTCGTCTCTCCGCCGCACGTCTCGCTCTCTGAAAAAAGTGTCAAAGATTTAGGTACGATGGGCAGAAAAGAGTGTTAATCATTACATCAGCCTTAGCTTGAGGTGTTAATGCAATGTGCTCCGATACGGCCCCATGTTATTAGTCCTCAAGTTCACAGCTCAACTCACTACTTTTGAACGTTCGATAAGGTGTCTCGACTCACGGACACAGCAAACGCCGAAGCCGTGCGCGCAGGCACCGCTGGCCACCCCACGATGTCGGCTACACTCTGAGGGCAGCAGACACGTCCCCCAGCCTCCGCCAATCTCCGAGCCGCACGCGTCGTTCGCGAACCGCAGAACAGTCAGCACCGGCAGACCTGTGAACGGGACGGGTCAGGTCAGCCGTGGTTGACGGGCACATTTGTTCGACGTGTGGTGATGAACGGCTCTATTGTGGAGTGTTATGACTCGTATGACTTCAACTCGAAAGAGGCCATTATTAATTAACCTTCGGGGAGGGGGGGGTGTGCCCCCGGCGTTTTTTGCAATTGCTCGGAACCCGCTGCCGATAGCTGAAAGAAGGCTTGCGTGACTCCAGCCTGATTTTTAGGTTAGGTCAGAAAGTCAATAAGTGAACCTGTATACGGCACTGGTGTCGCAAATTTGCAACGTCATCAATGCCAGGGAGCCTTTCGCACGGGGATTGCACATTGGTACAGGACTTAATTCTTAGTAGGCCTCCCAAGTCCCGAGCTCTCATAGCTTGTGGTATCGGATTTTTCGTAAGGGTCACCCTAGGTCAGGTCAGTCACGTGACATCACCATTGATCAATAGAAAATACAGGGAAATACTCTGATCCTGTTATTTTGGCTCGAGATATGATGACCATCGCAAGCACATGGAATCATGAATTCATAAGCTCCTTGCAAGGTCCGACGTTTAGCTTTTGGATTGTTGACTGCTTGACGTCATGCACGACTTAGATGAGTTCACCGGAGGTTTTCGTCAATAACTCAATAGAACTGAGCTAGCGAGCCAAGAAAGCCACCGATGGACTCGGGAAGATCTGCCAAATCGAAAAATATGCGACTTGAGCTCCTTCGACCAGCTTCGTGACCTGAGAGGCTGTGACCTGCGTCCTGACGTAACCTGAGTCATAGGCGGCGGAACGGGGGGAGCACCGGGGCACCGTGCCCCCCTTTGATTTTGCCATTTTAACATTAGCCCTATGGGCGTTGCATGGAAAGAATGAGACCAGAAGTCGGCAGTGCCCCCCCCCCCCCCGGCTCCCCTTAATTGAATGTGTTCCGCCACCACTGACCTGAGTCAGCTGACGTAACCTGAGTCCTGACCTTGACCTGAGTTTTATGGTCTAAGCTTTCCTCGCCCAAACAAAAGGTATATCATTACCATTTACCTACGGTCTAATAACGTTACTGAGTCATGGTGAACATGATTCCCATTTCCCAAAACGCAGCTCCGCGACCAATTTCGGGCAAGTTATGTACCAAAAACTGAGCCCGTACCTACTTTGGGTCAGTTCAACAAACTTCAGAGGTCACCGGTTGACCTGAGACCTTGAAATCGGGTACCAGACCAGTGCCTGCGTCTCGTAACGGCGCACACGCTCGTTTTACCGGGAGACTTAAGTTCAGTTAGTTTCAACTTTTAAACGGTTCCACCCCTCCCCTTCGGTGTATAGAAAACCGATAGGTCCGGTCACACTGTACCTACCTATATAAATAGGCCCGGTACGGGTTAGACTATAGGCTCACTGTCAACAAATACTTACGTCGGCGGTGAGCTGCTTGGCGGTGAACTGGTGAAACATGGGCGAATTTAAATCCTAAAAATAGCCGCAACCGGTTATTTTTTATGTTGATAAGGCTGACCTCAGCTCTCAAGTCTCAGGTCTGCTAAAACGGGCACGCTCATGAGCCAGTTACACGTGTGCCAAAGGGAGTGACACGTCGGGCCGAGGACTTTTCTTCCTCCGTTCGCACTGTGCTACGCCTGTTACGTTCTCAGAGATCAACGATCCGCTTTGGGTCGCTCACCTGCACGACGTGGCAATGTCGGTAATGTGATTAGAGCTCGGTACGATTTTTCCGCATCATGGCCCGGCGGCTGTCGTCTGCTCGCGTTCCCCGGGCACCCCCGTGGTAGTAAGCGGGGGCGGATAACACTGAGCACAGCCGCTACTGGGGAGGAAAATGGCCTCTGCCGTGCAGGGACCGGTGTTGCTGAGGGAATGTGTCGCAGGATGGAGCACGGACTCGAGGGACCTGCCCTCTTCCGTGCGGGAGCCGCGCGACCTTTCGGTAAGACAAAAACTGGCGGTCCGCGAATCGCCCACACACCGATCCCATGCCACGGGATTTTGGCGAAATATTTACCCACGCACCAATCAACTGCCGCTAATGGCGGCGACACACGGCGCGAGGCATCCCGGCGGAGACAGGCTAATGTGCTGCTTCCCATTCACTGGTGGTATTTGCGAGACAATTCGTACAACACAGTCATGCATTTATCTTTATCTTGATGTAACCTTTCACGGCTTCTAGATATACCATAAGCATGTTACTGTATGTTGTACCTACGTGCATGTGCCGGGCCCGCCCACCTACATTTATAAACATTCCACGAACGGGAGCAAAAGCCACGCTGAAAGATTGCAGATGCGTCACCGGTTCAGTCATTTTTAACTAGACACAACGTAAACGAAAACGTACCAAAACGCAAAACGTGTGCCTGACGTACAGGCATATATGTGCAAACATCCAATGTATATATAAAGTCGAGCAATTATCTATATGAATTATAAGAGCATTAAAGTGATTTGTTTATTTTCATTCACGTGACCCATATTTTGAATGAGCGGATTAACCGGACTTTGTGTGCAGGTCGTGACGTCAATGCTCTACAATCAGTCCTTACGCCGCGCAAGGCCTGTATCAGGCTTAATGTACATAAGGCCATCTATAAGTATATAAGTTATAGTAGTTCCGTGATCGTTAAGATCGCATCGGGTTGACGGTTTCTCCACAACTGCGATCTTCACAAATAGAGACTTTATTCATCATGTGGAGGTAGAAAAATAAATATGCCTAAATAATGCCATAATCTGAAGGCTGTCCTGTCACCGTATAACCCGAAGCTGGCAGATCCGTGATGTCCATCCGTGTAAGGTATGCGAAACTCGTGAAAATCGGCCGGTTCCCCGCATATTGCAAAAAAAACATCTTGTATGACAGGTTGTTCCCCCGGAGACCAGACACATACATTTTGCATCAGTGCATGCAGTGGGGTGGAGCATTGGTGCAGCCTTCAGCCTATATTATTATTGGGGCCAATTTAATCACTATTCGACGGTAGTGGAATTCACATATGGAAATGCGGTCACTCGACAAAGCACAACCTGTTGAGGTATGTAAACCAAATTTACGGTCAATGAAGAATGAAGATACATGACTTCCAAATGCACATAAGTAAAAGGCCGTCTAAACCAACTGTCGCTGATAGTTATTACTTACGTTTGCATGTTACTTACGGACAAACTTTGCCTGTGGCCACTGCCGGCTGGCTGTGTTCGTCGCACCAGTGGCGCTAGCCCCGCCGAAATGTTCTCCGTCAGGAGGACGTCTTGCCGTCGAGGGAGTCGCCGAGTCAGGCCTGCTCCCCGGCTCCTGGCGGGTAGCTGAGTCTCTCAAAACTGACTCTACTTGAGTCACCGCCACCGACTCATAGACACTCGTGTCAGTTGAAGGGCGAGACGTACCGGCAGAGTCCGGTCGGCTAATGCCCTTCACGCCCTCACGCTTCGCAGCTGCCGAAGAGCTGGCACGGAGCACTCCGAACTGTTCACGTTTTAGCACCCCCACCTCACCCCGAACCATCAGCCCGGCTTTCAGCGATCGGCCGGGCCCGCCGATGGTCACATTTAGTGGCGCTACCGTTGACCTCGTGTCCTTCCACTGGAGGTACCCCTCGTCTCTGTTGTCCCGGCCATCCTCAGCCGGAGGTGCAGTCGGTACCGGACCCCGTCTCGGCCGGCCCTGATAGCGGCGCTGGTAGTACTCGGCGCTGCGAGCTCCTCCTGCGCCGCTCCTGGCCACCACCGGCGCCACCAGAAGGATGGACAGGAGCAGCACTGACAGGGCGGGCAGGGGCCGCAGGTAAGCCGCCATCAGCAGGGTGACGTCATCTCCTCCGCTGCACGCCGCAAGACAGGGACGGATTTGGAGCAGGCGGGCCTCGGTTAAGGTCCATGCCTAACCTATTATCCGTGAGACCATTCAAAGCTTGCCATTGCCTTGCTTGCTGACAGTTGATACTGTTGTCAGTAGTGACGCATCCACAGGTGAACTTTACGAGGCTCGTCTTTTCTGAGGCCTTCAACCTTCACCATTTTTAGCGCTTACCAACTGGATCAAATCTCGATGTAATCTCGGTCCATTGTAGCCAAAGCAGGCACTAAAACCACTGTAGGCAGCAGCAATCCAGCAGAAGTCAGAACTCGAACACCCGGCCTCGATCGGTGCACCCTGGCGACTGGCTCCTCATTGTCCTCAGAGCCTGGCGACGGCATCTGCCGGTCACGGCTGGTGACCCCGGGTCACGCCCGATGAACCTGGGTCACGCCCAGTGCGCGAGCCCAGCCGACGACAGGCCGTCAACAACAACTGGATGCCAGAAAAACGCAGCGGAAGCGCCGCCGACACGCTTCCGAATCGAAAGCGACCCGTCGTCGCTCGCTGTGGTCTGCTCGGCTGGGGGCGGCACTTCCGCGGCGGCTGGGGAGACAGCTGTGGAGAAAGGTTGTGTTCGGACGAGGTGGACCCCGTCTCAGACGACTGACAGGGCGACCGGGTGAAATGCGGGCTCAATATGCCTACGGATACGCCTATACTTACTTTAATACTTTTTGCGCCTTAATCAACCCGCGCGGGGCTGGGGTCTCCAGCCGAACGCGCGGGGCTGGAGGGGGGGGGGGGGGTAAATTTTACCCCCCCCCTGTTATCTCCCGAACTAATGGTCCGATTTGGAAAATTCATAAGCCAATCGAAAGATCTCATCACGAACAACTAAAAACATGTACTTAACCCGCGACGGTGGGGGGCTATTTTTTGCCCCCCCCCCCCTCCAGACTTTTCAATATATCTCCAGAACCGCTGCGCCGATCGTCACCAAACTTTCAGTACTCTCCTGGACATCAATTTTACACATTGTGACCAAAAATTTTTCCAAAAGCTATGATAGGTTGGCCGGAAATGACGTCAGAGTGACGTCATGTTCTGCCGTTTTCGACCCAAAAAAGGGTTTCGCGGGAAGAGCTGTCAGGCCTATAGCTTTGCAAATACAGAAAAATGGTAAAGACATAAAAGCTGTATAATTGACAGGGCTACAAAATTGCGATCTCGGATTTTTGAATTTTTTTGATTTTGACCCCCAAAAATCAAAGAATAGATTTTTTGGATATAATAGTCGAAAAATCCAAAAAGTTTTTTGAATTTCGCAAAAACCGGAAGATATGTGATAGCCCTTACCGCCTTCCATCCACATACCAAATTTTAGATTGATACCTCTTTTTTTGGCGAGGTTATAGCGAAAAAACTGTTCAAAATTGATGACGTCAAATTTTCAAACTCAATTTTTAGCAATTCTAGACCCCGTAGCGCAAAACAAAGACCACCATTAGACTCCCCGTGACGAGCTGCATCGAATCAATACCCACTTTATGCAAAACTATCAACTTTAAAATTTGACCTTTTTTGGCCTGACCTTGACCTGACGTTGACCTGACCTTCACCAGAAAGTAACCTAAGCCGTACCTGGGGCGTTCCACGACAAATCGACAAATAAAAAATTAAATTTGCACCCTCATATTTTATTCTTCGTTGAAAACTGGTGTAAGGGGTTGTGATGGGCGGGGAAGCCAGCTGTGGCAAGGATTTTTTTCTTCGAACAACGGTTTCCGAGATATAGCCTCGGGCAATTCCTGGAGTTCGCGCTGCAGCCCTATGTTTGGCGGCCTATAACTCAGAAACTATTGTTTTTTTACGATAAAAACTTGATATGGTTCAACACACAATCAATCAACAAACATTTTGGCTATCTCGGATTTTCAATTTTTGACAATTTTGATCACGTGACCTTTTGTCCTATTTTTCGAAGAGTGACCTTGATATTTTCCCCACTGAAAGTTGCAATTTTGTCTGATGACGATTAAAGCCTTATCAATTTTCATTCATATGCCATAATAAAAAATGTGGTTATCGCCCTGCGTTGACCTCAGGTCAGGTCATTTTTATGACCTGTCCATTATTACGAGCGGGAGCGACAGCGAGATCTCGAGAATAAAGCAAGATAGCGACAAGCGGTAAACGGTAAAGGGTACACACGGATAAGGTCTATAATTTTTACTGAGATCATTTTCAGGTCAGGTCAAAGATGACGTCACAGGAGCTAAAAGGAAGTCAAAATAGCGGCACTATGCATATATATGAAGTTTTTCTCGAATAACTTTCAAGGCATCCCAGCTAGGAACAAACTAATAGCACCATCGTGATCCTCTCGTCGATCCGCATCGAAACATATGTATGTTGACCTCGAAAGGTCGAGAGGTCAAAAGTTGACCTTAGATCACGTGACCTAAGGTCAACTTTTGACCTTTCGACCTTTCGAGGTCAACATACATATGTTTCGATGCGGATCGACGAGAGGATCACGATGGTGCTATTAGTTTGTTCCTAGCTGGGATGCCTTGAAAGTTATTCGAGAAAAACTTTATATATATGTATAGTGCCGCTATTTTGACTTCCTTTTAGCTCCTGTGACGTCATCTTTGACCTGACCTGAAAATGACCTCAGTAAAAATTATAGACCTTATCCGTGTGTACCCTTTACCGTTTACCGCTTGTCGCTATCTTGCTTTATTCTCGAGATCTCGCTGTCGCTCCCGCTCGTAATAATGGACAGGTCATAAAAATGACCTGACCTGAGGTCAACGCAGGGCGATAACCACATTTTTTATTATGGCATATGAATGACAATTGATAAGGCTTTAATCGTCATCAGACAAAATTGCAACTTTCAGTGGGGAAAATATCAAGGTCACTCTTCGAAAAATAGGACAAAAGGTCACGTCATCAAAATTGTCAAAATTGAAAATCCGAGATAGCCAAAATGTTCGTTGGTTGATTGTGTGTTGAACCATATACAGTTTTTATCGTAAAAAAAACAATAGTTTCTGAGTTATAGGCCGCCAAACATAGGGCTGCAGCGCGAACTCCAGGAATTGCCCGAGGCTATATCTCGGAAACCGTTGTTCGAAGAAAAAAATCCTTGCCACAGCTGGCTTCCCCGCCCATCACAACCCATTAGACCAATTTTAAGCAAAAAATAAAATATGAGGGTGCAGGGCACTTGTCGATTTGTCGTGGAACGCCCCACCTGATAGTCTTATAAACAACACCATTGAGTTGGAAATGAAAAATTGGCCATAAAACATGCATCACACAACCTTAGTAAAGTTGGGCTCATGTGACCTGACCTGTGACCCTTGGTGACCTGACCTGTGACCTGACCTGGTATTGTCAGTGACCTCTAATAGCAACATATCTACTAGGCAACTGACGCCCTATCGCTGATTCTCGACAAAATGCGTTTTCCTCGGTGTTATAGCGCATTCCCTAGTAGACCCGTGAACGGTGAAACATTTCATCTTTGACCTGACCTGTGACGTCATCGGTGACCCCGAGGTCAATGAAATTTGGTTTCCTTTGACAAATTTGACAGGCCTTTCGAACGCCGTTTGAATTTTGCGGATCCGTCCAGTAGTTTCGGAGATACGGGGGGGCAAAAAATAGCCCCCCCCACCAGGTCGCGTTATAAACAGACCCCACCAGGGCGCGGGTTAATTTAAAGTTTGAGGTCAAGGTCAAGGTCAGGTCAGGGGTACAAATTGCAAGTGTCTACAGTATCGGCCTTGCACCGTAGTTGCCGAAGATTGAAGAATGGAGTCATGGACTGAGACTGATTGCCCAAAACGTGTTCTTAGGCTACCAAGACAATATTCCTTGCATACAATATCATTCAGAGGTCAAGGTCAAGGTCAGGTCAGGTCAGGTCAGGTCGCCAAAAACAAAATATAGAAAAGGGCATGTGCGACACATGTTTTATGGGTCATTTTACTCATAGAATTCAATAGGCACACTCAATAAGTGATATGGACCACCTCTGGATGAATTTCAGGTCGAGGTCAGGTCAAGGTCAGGTCAAGTGAGGTCAAATTTTGAAGTTGGTTGTTAATGCCTAAAAATGTGTCTATCTGATGCAGTTTTTCACGGCAAATCGAATGGTGCTATTTTTGTTCCCGTAAGAGGTCTAGAACTTCCAAAAAAAGCATTTTTCAAAATTTGTGTGTGTCGTGACGTCATAAAAATTTGAATAGCTCCCACATTTTTGAACCGATTCTTCTAAAAATTGGTATGTAGGTGCAAATAGACCACTTCTCTGACATATATTCCATTTTTTCGATACACTCAAAATTTTGGATTTTATAATTATTTTCCCAAAAAAGTCAGTTTTTTTTTTTTTTAAAATGTGGGCTAAAATCCAAAATTTTCAAAAACCGAGATAGCCATTTGATAGACAAAGTTGAATTACGTATAACCTTTTTGTTACGTCTTGATTCCTTTAAAAATGAAGATGTTAGCGGCGTTTGAAATTTTGCCGTTTTTGAGGCGAAAATGGCGAACATGACGTCACTAAAACGTCAATTTCTCAAAAATTTTCCGACGGATTTCGCTCAAATTTTCAGAGAACGTGTCAAATTGATGTAAAAAAAGGTACTGAAAGTTTGGCGGCGCTGCGCGCGGCCGTTTTTGAGATATTGGGGGGGTAAAATTTACCCCCCCAGCCCCGCGCGGGTTAATGTCTTACTGAACGCATGACCGACTACGATTGTCTGTCTCTTTGACCTGTCTGCTATAATTGAAGGATCATAGTAACCTCTTGTTATTTATAACACAATTTATTACACGAGCAGCTACCCCGAAATTGTCACAAACGGTTGTGTCACTTGTCGCGGCACCGTCACTGATGGCATCTGTCCCAAGTTCGTTTGTTCACCGTGGCATGATATTGAACGACACACACCGTTCGCCCATCGTTTGTGGGCGTCGCA